GCCAGTTGAAAATGTCATTTGATCTGCAAATGAACCATTGCCATATCCCAGAAGTATACTAACATTATTACTGAGATAATTAGTGACAACAATATCCAGTAGGTTATCATTATTGAAATCACCAACACATAGAGAGGATGGCTGAATACCAGTTGAATACGTTGTTTGACCTGGAAAACCTTCAAAATAACCAAGGAAAATATCAATAGAACCAGTATCATTATTAACGACCATAATGTCTAATTGATTATCTTTGTTAAAATCATATATGGCGAACGTAATCGATGATGAAGAACCACTTGAATAGTATGTGAGCGAACTTTCAAAATTACCATTACCAGATCCTAAAAGAACACCGATATTGTTAATGCCTTGATTAGTGACAACTAAGTCCATTTGATTGTCGCGATTAAAATCACCGATACCAATCGAGTATGGAGAAGCATTATCAATAGAATGCGTTATCTGATTCGTAAAGCTTCCATTAGCATTGCTCAGAAATACACCAATGTTTTTATTTCCAAAATTTGCTACGACAATGTCGAGGAAGATGTCATCATTGAGATACCCAACAGCAATTGAATATGGATGAGATCCAACGCCAGTTGAAAAAGTAATTTGGCTTCCAAAAGTATTGTTTTGATTACCGAAAAGAACACCAACATTGTTAGTGCCAGCATTAGCGATTGCAATATCTAAATAATTGTCATTATTGAAATCACCAATAGCCAATGACATTGGAAGCGAGTCACAACCAGTCAGATATGTAACAGGAGATGAAAAATTTCCATTTCCATGCCCATAGAATATACTTATACTCTGTGTTCCATAATTGACAGTTGCAATATCAGGTAGTGTGTCGTTATTCAGATCTGAGATACCAATTGAAATTGGACGAGATGAACCAGTTGAAAGTTCTCTTTGATCACTGAATGATCCATTTCCAAATCCAAGAAATATGCCAACATTATTAGTACCAAAATTTGCCACGACAATATCCAATTGATAATCATTATTAAGATCATGAATAGCGACCATGTAAGGAGCAGAACCAATACCAGTCGAATATATTGTTGGATTTCCAAGTATAATGCTGCTATTTCCAAAAGCCACGCTTATACTGTTCACAGCATTATTAACGATAACGACATCGAACCACGTATCATTATTAAAGTCGCCGATAGCAATAGACCGTGGACCATACTGATATTCAATTGGGTTTGGGTCTGTTTTACTGAACTTCAGCTCACACTTGGCACCTAGATTATAAAATAAAGACTGAGCTAATATTCTATTTTATTTACTTTATAATTTCAGTGATATTCTGTTGAAAACTATTGGGTTCTTGTAGTTATATTTTCGTCACTGTCAGTATTTTTTCAAGAGATCTCATATTAGTTGTTCATGCAGGTTGTCTCATTTACTTCAGACTTTGCTAAAGAGAGTATGTAGGACGATTGAAGAAAGCACACTACTATACAATCAGAGTGAACAAAGATTCTAGATTGACAGACATTATACTTATATGAAATCTTAAATATGCAGGATTTACGTAGGTGACTATATGAGAAAATCTTGCTTAAAAATTGCTTTTATTTCATCATTCAATAATCTGTCTGAAATTGATCTACAATCAACATATCAGTTCGATTACTGACTATTACTCTGTAATACTTCTAAAATAGTAATCTTTACTTTGACTTCTATCCAATTCAAGATGAGAATGTAAAACATGAGCAAACCTGATTGTTTTGGTGAAGTAAAACAGACTACAAATATAGCAATGAGCATTGCTATGGTCGAAAACATACTAAATGCGCAAACAGGATGAACCATTAAATGCAATATTGACCAGAAGCAAGATTTTCTAAAAACGAGAGCAATAAGATCATATATAATGTGAAAGAAAACAGCATACTTAGTTTGCAAAGCCATTTTTCTTGTCAGATCTTTGTCGCTGTTATCGTCCACATTTTCTTCAACATTTACAGTTGAAGTCGAGGCCACATTTTCGTTCGGCTCGACAGTTATAGTTTCCTTATAAAACAAGCAATTGATCGATATATTACTAATGTTTATAGAATATACTCTAATTAATAAGAAGATAACTGTGAAGCAAAAACATATCTGTGCCAATTGAAAATCTTTATAATTAACTACTGATGAACTTGCTTGACGTAACTTTTAAATAACAATCGATTCAGGGATGGGTGAATGAGATGTTTTAGGACTACATTCAAGCCAAAAACGACTTGACTTGTTTATCTCTGACTGAGCCACATAATTAAGCGAATATACTGTGTTTAACTACTGTTTAAAAGTACCAGTCTAGAAACTTATTTAGTACGAGCCATAATCGATCATTGTCAAAAGATGTAGTTTTACATCTTTTAATCATGTTACCATAGAGAATTTGGTTGACTTTAGATTAAAGTGATATGTACTGTTTTCCTCCTTTCCAATATTTTTGTATGAACACTAATATATCCAGGGTCTACCGGGAGACTCTATATGCCCTCGGATATAACAGTTCGTCTGAGGAAATCTTTTATGTATTGCATCATTTAGGAAAGCTAATGTTCTATAATATAACGATTTGAAAAAATATTGCATAAGACACCCAAACAAATACAACAAATACAGAAGGATATTATTCAGTGGTCTATAAGCAGATGCATTTCCCATTCAATAGTAAGTTTCACATACCTCATGCGCATGAGACTGCATTGCTCCCTTGTGGGGTTAACACTTGTTGTTCACGTAAGAATAACTATTGCAAATTTTAAACAACCTAAAAAAACAAAATATATTAATGGTGATCCAAGTATTATTATTATTATATTATACTCTAGTATAATTTTATTTTATGTTACTTTATTATTCAAATTTATTTTTATATTATTTTATTTTATTTTGGATGATCTCAAGTGATGTATTTATCGAACAGTAAGTACTTAATTTAATCTAGTTTTATTCTATTACTTTTAGCGAATCTAAGTGAATATATTTAGTAAACAGTAAGTAAATAATTTTTCTTATTGATTTCTATTTATTTTTGAAGTACTTTACTTTATTTTATTATTTGAGAACGTTTAATGGAAGATATTTGTACTTCACTTTAGAGGTAGAAGAGGTAAGACGTACGGTAAAAAAAATAATATCTATATCATACAACCCAATAATACGATCGTAAACCATCGTTTACGGATTCCGTAACGCTCGATCTGAAGGAAGCTAACTGTCCATGGACTTTTAAAAAATAGGAAAAAAAGTGTTTTTTTCCATTTGTGGATCGCCTGTAAACTGTGACCATGATTTCAGTCATACAATGAATATCAATAGTAAGTATACGAATATTTACCTTTGAATTATGCCCACGAAAGATCGAAGTCAAAGAAGAATCGATGTATATACGAGGTGTAAATATAAATGAAAGCAAAAAATAAAACAAAAAATGTGTTTTGCACTCTTTTATATTTCCTTGAATACGTTGATTATTGATGCATGAATCGTTATTATTCGACGATTTTTTTAAAAACTATCAAACAGTCAGGCAGCAGAGCACAAAGGAGAGGTGTGGGGGGTCTCTCAATCACCGTTTATACAAACAACATTACCTACAATGTATATGCGCAGAGAAAAATAATATATTAGCCATCTCACTCACACCAACAAAAGACGTATATATAATTAGTCACGGCAATACTTTTGTCTCTCGTCGTGTGTGTATGAGATATCGCCTATAATTAATGTATAAAAATAAAAGAAAAAGTATTCATGAGCCTACTCTTTCTTTCTTTCTGCCAAATGAAAGATGCGCCGATAATGATGCACAAAAAAAGTCTCTCTCTCACCATATACTATAACAAATGTTATATATATTTTATATATGAATAGAAACGAAAGAAACAAAACACTATTGTATTAGCACATGCTTGATTGTTTATCATGTCTTTTTGTTTGAATATTTTATCGAATCTTATATTACGTTAGATTTTTTTATAAAAATATTTGTTCATAGAAAACACATCACCACCAATTATTCTATTTCTACAATTTATTTTATTGTTTCTTTTCATTTTTTTATATGTTTTGTACATATCTATTGTACAAAAGTATTTATTTGGGTTATTCATGAAGAACATTGAGAGATAATTTTACTTTTGTTTTTTCATCTTGTCCAATTTGATTGAATCTCAAGTTTCTGAACATTTAAGTTCGAAATATCTTTTAGAAAAAGATTATCCTGTTCGGAACAACGTTTATTGAAAAGAAATTTCTTTTCCTCTGATAGGAATAAATAAATGAGTAAAACAAAAATTCAACACTAGTCGAGTCATTTTTTGACTTGAAATAAACGAAAATCGATTTCAAACCAAGTCATTTATTTATGAAAATATTAACATTTAGTCCTTCTATTTTGTATGTCAGAAGAGAAAAAAATATTTACAAAAAAATGTCTAATAAATTTCAATGTCAGTGTATTTTAAGAGTATATCTTCTGTTCTTAGTTTAAAATTTTTCCATACATTTTAACCTAGAAATGAAAACTCAAGTATATAAAACAACTGTGTGTATATATATTTTTGGACTTGACTTACCCATATCTGATATGTATTTCAAAGCATTACTTTATTCAAAGGAATATATCTTTAAATAAAACTGGTTTTTATCTATTGAAAAATTAAATTAATATTCGTATTCATATTAAAGATCAATAGATTAAAATGATTCTATATATTAGTGATATTTATGTCATATATTTTGATCATAAATGAATATCAACGAACTATGAAAATCTGAAAATGATATCATGCTGTATACTTTCCTTCTCGCGAGGTTCAATGTTCAAGATGAGTATGAAATACCACGAGATACTGACAATATGATCTGATTAAGAAACGTGTTATAGACTTCCTTATATTATTCAGTAATATATAATCATAAATTTTAACAATTTTTACATTTTGTAACCTTTATTTCATATATTAATATATATTTAACATCTCAAAACAAATATGAAAAAACTAAATGAAAGATAAGCATATCATACAAAAACAAAAAATGAAATATCCAGTATTGAATTGTTCTCTTTAAATCACAAAATTACTACTGTTGATTGCTACTATAATATTGTTTAAATAAAATAATAAGTGACTTCATTTGTGATATATGTATGGGTGAAATAAATGGAGGCTCTAGTAATAAAGTTTCCATATGATTAATCCACTGTGGAAAAATTTTAGCTAATCGTTCACAATGACGAAAAACAAACAAATAGAACCAATGTTCAGAAATAATAGATGTTGATGGAAAATTTTTTCGAATGCAATGTAAATATTCTTTTTCTGCTACACAGCGACATGCTGAAAATGAATTATTTGAAGATGAAATCATTTCTCGAATTATTGTTTCTTCTTCATATGATGTTAACGGATGAAAACAAACAGATGATGTATGCTTTAAAGGTGATTCAACATCATTATCTGATAGACAAATAATATCATCCTAAGATAAAAATACAAACCACTTTCTTTTCTATCAAATAACAATAGTATGATTTTTTTGTATATACCAATTCATCTGGATTTGTACTAAATAATTGTAGAATCTCTTCAGTATAATTTTTCTGATCTTGAGTGAGTATTGGTGTATCATCATCATCATCATCATCATCATCATCAATAATTGTTTCTTCTGGTGATCTTTCAATAGATGATTCTGATTCAATAGGATCATCCCAATACCACCATTCCCTTTTAAGTATAGTTATACGTTTTCGTAATGACAATTTCGATAATCTAACTGTTTGTTTAATGGCAGTATTAAAATTTGATCTATCTTTTAATGTTAATTTTTGTTCGTCTAACATTTTAGTTTTCATCTAAATGAAATACGGAGAATTAATTTTTTAGTGAAGTTATTCCCATTTTTATGTATATTTTACTTTACGACGCCATTTAGAACGTTGTTTACTAAATTTTTCTGTACCAATAAATGGTAAAACACGTGTTGTTTGAATCCAACTACGTTCAGCAGTTTCACCAAAAAAGAAAACATGTACATATGTAGATTTTCCTAAATACAAACAAATGACTTCAATATTTTAGAGTTAAATAGACTTAATAGAGCGAATAATATGGATAAAATCATTTAAAATACTTTTCATTTGCTGAAATTCAATAAGAATTAGTTTGAAACACTAGATTTATTTATTTATTCAGAGAATAGTCATAACTGCAGCCAATCATATCACTTTCACTAATTTGTTAGACTTGACTAAAATCTATAGACTTACCTTTATGACGAATCCAATCTTGATTTTCTTCCGTAAATATAACTGCAGGCCAAAATGGTGCTGATGCTAATTTTGCCCATATAAGTTCTCCGAAATGAAGTGAAGTTGATGAAGCTAAATTGAAAATACGTTTCATACTAATCAATAACACATTTTTATTTAAATTCTGCTTAAAACTTTTCCGACATATGATTTTTTTACTCAGTCTTTTCTTTGAAAATATAGTTAGACGGAATAATAAACACTCTATCGAATGATGTAACTTGCTTTTTATTTATTCTATGTTCCGTTCGAAAAATTAAAATTGTCAAAAGAAATTTGTTCTAAAAGATGTGATATCGATGCAAAATTGAGTTTTTCTTCTCCAATAATATAAATAATAATAAAACACATCAGTCTTTATCTTCATGACATTTTCAAAGTTTCATATGATTCATACTGTAGTTTTCTATCTTTTCTGTTTATTTACCACATTTGTCGACAAAGCAAAAATAAGACATCCAATTTCTTGCATAAACACAACAAACTGTACAATTTTATATTCAATTTACGTATTTGTCATATAATTTTAAAACTGTATTCACATACTACTTGACTATCTTGTATAATTAAAAGAATCTAATTAATTTGTTACTTCTTACTGTCAGACGGATCTGTTGTGCATTCATCCGTTGAAGTCATTCTTCAAATCTAAAATATATAACATTAGATACCATTATTGAGATATATTTCAATTCAGCTAAGACAGAAAGTAGACAAAAAAAAGAGTATATTAAAGAGAAGAAAAAAAAATGAAATACGAACAAATTGTATCAAGAAAAAAGAGATCGTATATACAATATTAGTAAATAAAATAAGAAAAACAACAAAATTAATCATTCTTGATTATCAAAAAGAAGATTGAGTGAATCGACAATCTAAGAAATACAGTAGATATATATATATTTTATAGTTAGATTTTTAAACATACTTCTTTTTTTGTCATTGAATTAATATCAACACTATAATCAAATCGTTCTAATGCATTCATCCATATTGATGAATTCTTTTTCACATCTATATTTAATTCTTTTGAAACAACAAGAATACCATTGTCATTAGTAATCTATAATAAATAAAAATAATATTTATTCAAACCGAACAAAAAAAATCAATTAAATTTACTGAGAAATCATCGGTAACATAACTGAGAATTGTTCCTAATCGTCGATGAAGCATTGTATCATCAATTTGACGTATTTTTGCTATAATAGAAAGAAAACATAACATATATATCAAACTTTATAATATATAACAAACCAATTTCATGAAGTGGTTGTTCGGATAATCTTTGTTTTTTTGGTCGACGACATTGATTTTCAATTTGAGCTAAAATCTAAAATAAAAATTTCTTAAATAAATAAAAATTAATCAATTAATTTACTTCTTCATCAACAATATCAAAGTTTTCATCATTATTTTCTTCATCTTGTGTTGATGATTCAATTCGAAAACTTGTTTGTATACATTCATCAATATTTGTTAATGATGTTTTACTTATTGTTGATATTGCTGAATGTATTGATGGCATTGATTTAGATTTAACAAGAAATAATTCTTGTTTAAGACGTGCATTTTCTTCACGTAATTCATCAATTTCATGTCGTAAATGTGGAGTTTTTATTCGAGGTACATTTGTTATTGTTGAAGCAAGACCAGCATAACGTAATGTATTTATTGTTTCATCAATAACAGTTGATGATGGACTAATAGTTGCTAACATAAATGTTTTAGCATCACCACCAAGACTATTTTTTAATAAATATGTTAAATTTGAATCACGATATGGTATATGACTTTGTTGACGAGATAATGCATCAATTACATTACGAAGTGTCGATAATGATTGATTAATATGAACACTTTCCTGTAAAAACAAAGAAATATTCGAATATTGAATATTTTTATTATTCTCACCGCAAAACGATCATTTTTTCCTTGAGGTCCATGATATTGTTGTGATTTTTCACTTCCAGCTAAATCTACAAAATTTAATCGTACAGCTTGTGCATCGATTTCATCTTGTGCTTGTTGTTTAGCACTTTTCTTTGATGAACTCGATAATGTTGCATTTTTACCAATATTTGATAATGAATGAGCTGTATTTGCTCCAAATGATAAACGCATTGTTGTTGATTGTGGTACATCAATACGACTTATTTTAACAGTAAATATAGCATGTGATCTTGATGATCGTTGATTAGCATTTGTTGATGCAACTGAACGTTGTTGATTACCTAAGTTTAGAACATTTTGAAAATCTTCTTTGCTTTTAACTTGAATATATTTTAAATCAGGCACATATGGACCAAGTAATGGATGTTCACGAATTTCAAGTGTACGTGCAGAATTCGTTGCTGAATTAGAATTTGGTACAAGTTTATTTAATATATGTGTACGTGCTTGTTTAGAAAATGATGATGTTGAAGAAGTTTTATTTGACGTTTTTGAATTTGTTTGTTCATTCGATGGTATTGGAATTGCAAGTAAATCTGTTACTTTTTCATTATAAATTTCCAGAAAACTTAATTCAAATTTTAAATGATTTTTAGCATTCATTGTTATTAAATCATGAATACTCAATGATAATATGCCTTCTTCACATGATGAACCAAATATAGAATGTGATTTGCCTTGAAAAATTAAAATATATAAAATTTCTTTATTTTAGTGATAAATTAAATTACCTGATGCTGTTTGACCATAGGCTAAAACAGTTGTATTATATCCTAAAAATATAAATATAATGATATTGAAGAATTGATCATATATATATATACCTTGTAAAGAAGCAAGAACAGCTGGTCGAATCATTCCATCATACACATTTTTCTAAACAAACGTGTTATTCTTTTTTATGAATAATAATTTTTTTTTAAATTTACATTAGTTGTAGAAGCATCAAAACAATTTGTAAATTTAAATATTTGTGGTCGACTATTCTGCGTACAAATAACGTTATTTTCAAAGATTTGTACAGCTGGTGCATCATCAATGGTAGCCTCTCTATTAAATAAAATGAAAATTGATCTATATATATATTATATTGAAATCTAATAAATAATAAACCTTTCGAGAAATGGACGAAGTCGTATACCAGTAATAATGGGATCACCTTTAGTTAATTTTTTTCCAGGTGTACGTGGAGATGATACAAGAGTAGTTGATGAAGTGAATTGATCATCTAGAGAAATTAATTTAGAAAACAAAAGCGAGTGTTTATTAGAAATAGAAATCGATTTATTACGAGTTGTCAAGGTTGATGTTCGCAATTGATTCAAACGATGAGCCATACACGAAGAAAAAAAATCTTCTAGAAAACGATCTAAAATATTAAATTATTTGACATGAGTATTCTAAATTCTAAACATGAAAGAAAAGAAATTTGTTTTTTTTTTCATTTAGAATATTCGAACAATACACTTTGCCGCTGTATAACCAACATATAAGTAGAACAGTGAGGAAAGAAAGAATGAACATTTCGAGCGTTAATATCAATGTAATTTTCAATCAAATCAAATTTCGAAAAATGAGATAGATGGCGTTTATAAACAATTACTCTTTGTTTCAATATTCGATATATAAAATGACTGATATCTTCCTTTTTATAAACTATTGAAAAAGTGAATATTGACATACTCTACATAAGCGTCAAAAATATTTTAACAATAAAAAAAGTTGTTATGCAACTGGCAGATTATCTTCTTTCGCAGATCTTTTTATGTTTGATATGGAAATAAGTTTTGATGAGGGGCAATGTATAATATCACTTGAAAACTATCAATTAATTGATCGATATAAATAATAGTATTGTGTTTGTCAAGTGACTTTTTCTACCGTCTACTGTAAAATTTCCGAATACAAGGTGAAAAATAATGGTAGATATACAAAGTACTTCACCGTTATTCATTCAAGTAAAAGCAAATCCTTTCTCCCTATGATCTACCAGCAAACTAGCGATAATCAAAACTTTCAAATATTATATTTCGATCATATCCGACTGGTTTTTCTTAAATAGACACTTGGTCAATACACTACTAAATAAACATGAAGAATGTGTTTGATGGTGATAGATACGTTTCACTGAGTAAAAACTAAAGAATAAGCAATAATCTAATTCATCTACTAGTGACATCTAATAAATATATTTTATGTATATTTTTAAAAAGCTTCTTTTTTATTAATGTAAATTTGTATTTAGAAAAACAAAAGAATTGAATAAAAATTTTATAATTTAATTTTAAATTTATTTTGCTACTGTAAACAGAATAAGTGAATAGAAGAACAGAACAAACACCTGACCGATGGGAACAGGGATAAAAAGAATGTAAGTAAGCATGTGATCATTACTATAATCATAAAAAAAGTCAGCTGTCATCGAAATGCTTTTTCTTTATTAAAAGTTCAAATAATAGAAAATTATTTATTTATGTCTCTTAACTATTCTAAACGTTTTTTCTTCTTGTTCTAGATCCAAGAAAATAACTTTTAATCATTAGCTCGCGCGTCGAGCGCGTGTGTAAAATTTCGTAAAACAGAACAAGAAAAAGAAAAGAAAAGAAAAGAAAGAAAAAACAATGCAAATATACACTTTAAAATAAAAACCTTTCTATGTAGCATGTACAATTGAAATACAACAAGAATAGACGATACAAATCTTTCATGAGGTGGTGGTATTTACAATTATCAATGTTTTTATATTTTTATAATGGCAGTGATACGTACATTTCTCAAGCGTACAGCTGTCCGACATTCTTCAAATAATAATAATAATAATAATTTAAGTGTTGTTAGTATAAATACACGTTCATCTAGTGATACATCAACATCAACAATTGATCATTTAAATAGTCAAACAAATGATGGTTATAGTAGTACATCAACATTAGGTGTTTCAACAATTAATAGTGATGATTCTTCACAACATCCTTTACTCCCTGTTATATCTTCAAAAAATCGTCGAAAGAATTTTTTTTCTTGTCTAACTAATAATACAACAACAATGGATACAAATGAAGAACAATTAATCAATGAAGATATTTGTTTACTAGATACTAAATTACCGAAAGAACTACTATTAAGGTATAAGAAATATTTATTAATTTTTTCTTTGTAGTTAAATATATATATTTCTATTCTAGAATCTTTTCTTATCTTGATTATAAATCGCTTTGTCGATGTGCACAAGTATCAAAAGTAAAAAAATATAAAGATTAATAATAGATTTATATATGTATTAATAATCGTTTATATTGTAGTATTGGAATACACTTGCATTAGACGGTTCAAATTGGCAAAGTATTAATTTAAAAAGTTTTCAACGTGATGTTGATGTATGTTTATTAAATATTAAATTAACATAATAATATTTTCGATACTTATTTTTAGGGTATTGTTCTTGAAAATTTAAGTAAACAATGTGGATCATTTTTAAAACGATTAGATATTGAAAATTGTAAATTTATTAATGATCATAATATGAGGTAGAAATCTTTTATTATTATAATTCGAAAAAAACCAAAAAAAATTTTATATTTAGAAATCTTTCCAACAATTGTCCGAATTTAGAACGATTAACTGTTAAACATTGTACAAAATTATCTAATACGTAAATTCAAATTGAAACAAAAAAAAACAAATTAAATTTTTCTTTATTTTTTAGTTCTTTATATCATTTAAGTAAACATTGTCCCTATTTAAATCATATAAATATAGCATCATGTCATCATATTGATGATCAAGGCATTAAAATGATCAGGTATATATTTATATAAATAAAATCCCTTATTATTATTATTTTCTTTTAGTTCAAATTGTTCGAATTTAGAATGGATTGATATATCATGGTGTATGAATATAACAGAGAATGGTATTCGAAATCTAGCTGAATCATGTCCAAAATTAACAGTATTCAAAGCAGAAGGATGTACACATGTAAATTTAATAAGAAAGAAATATATTTTATTTTTAAAATAAAAAAATATTCTATTAATTTAGATGACAAATAATGCAGCAAGAGAACTTGCAATAAATTGTTCAAATTTATTATTTCTTGATTTAAATCGTTGTTCTGTATGTGAATATTAAAATTTCTTTAAAATCATCTTATTTTTTTTCTTTTAAATAGTCTTTAACTGATGAAGGTTTATTAATTCTTACTGAACATTGTCCTTTACTTGAAACATTAATTATTGCCAATTGTAGAAATTTAACAGATAATACATTAATAGCACTTGGACGATATTCTCATCGATTAAAGTAATATTTAATTATTAAAAAACTGAAATCGATATCTTCATTGAATCGATCTTTTTTTTAGAAAACTTGATGCAACTCTATGTTCACAATTTACTGATACGGGATTTTTAGCAATGGCACAAGTAAAAATATGATAAAATAGTATTTTTTAATTTTTTTTCGAATTTATAGGGATGCCATTTATTACAACGTCTTGATCTAGAAGATTGTGTAGCTGTAAGAAAAAGAAAAATTTCATTTCATTATAATATAAAATCAATTTTAGGTTACCGATGAAACATTAAGACATTTGGCTGATAATTGTCCGAATATTGAAATATTGGTAAAATCATTTGATTATTATTTTATTTCTATTTAAATAAAATATTTTATTTTTTCAAGACTCTTTCACGATGTGAACAAATTACCGATGAAAGTATTCGTTATATTAGTTCAAGTACTTCTGCCCAAGAAAATCTTCGTATACTTGAATTGGATAATTGTCCAACTATAACTGATATATCTATTGATCATTTATTGAATTGTCAAAATCTTAAACGTTTAGATATTTTTGATTGTCAACAAATATCAAAAAATGCTGTTAAAAAAATTCAAGTAAATTTTATTGAATTATTTTTTCTTATCTATAATAATATCTAATCGTGATTTATTAGGCACGTTTTCCTGATTTAAATATTCACGCTTATTTTGCTCCACGAACTCCGACACCAACTAATCGTCGTTCAAGATCATGTCAACTTTGTTGTTGTACATCCTGTTCAGTTTGTACACCATCATGCTGTATTATTGCTTAAATTCTATCTATCTGATACATGTAATTATTATTTCATTATTTATTGTATTTTGTTGTTTTGTTTTTCTTTCAAACAAATTTTTAATGCAGTAAGTCGACAATTGTATCCTATTGTATATATTTGTTTATATGAGTACATACGAACACATCCTTTCAACAATCAGTTTTCTTTATTCTATTATTATTATTACTTTAGTCTGTATTTGATTTCTCATTCAACTTGATGTGTGTGTTTTGTAAAAATTAATTTCTTTTCTTTCTTGATTTAGATGAAAGAAAACATAATAAATTGACTTTTAACTATATCTTATAGTATTTCACTGATATCAAGCATGCTTTTTGAAACTTTTTTATGCATACAAGATAGCACATTGACATCTGAAGGAGGTTGGCCTTTATTCGAAAATCGAGAAGAATATCATCAAGCATTCTTGGATAATGAAACCTTGGATAATGTCTTGAATATATATATATAACATTCATACATGCCATGAATGGAATGTTTTTCATGATTCTATGTTTATTGGAATTACTTTTTTTTTCAGCAAATCAAATCAAGTTTTTTTGTAATGTATATAATATATTGATATTGTAAAACATTAATTTATCAACTATACAATTCTTATTTCAAATTAAGTATGTCTATATTATATAGAGAATTAAGACTGAAGAAATTTATAAGAGATATGATTGATTCCAGAAATGTTTATGACTATTTACTTTGATTAATTTTATGATAAATGGTATCTTTTACATCGTATATAGTATTCTACAATAAAATATACTATTTCACTATTGATTAAAAATATTGATAGTATTCCAGACGTAGTTGTACAGTGGGGTACTTAGGATTTTTAGACTAATGTCTCTGTTTGTATATTTAAGTTTCACATATAAAAATCAGAATGGTGAGAATTCATTTGTGTATATAATTTCAATATGTCATTTGGATTGATATCGAGATCTTTATGAATGTAAGCGGCAGCAAATCCATTTAGCCTGTTTTTAATTCTCGATAATTGACTAAAACTTCTCTTAACCGAAGCTATTGAGACAGATTCGCTCTGTGTTCTTGTTTCTCTTTTCTTTGATCTATTATTCTCTATCTTTACGTGATCAGCGTTTTCCCGTTAAAATCGAATTCATGTTCACCCAAACTTACAGTTAAAATACAAGAAGTGATTCTTTTCTTTTTTTTCTTAATTCTTCACAGAAAGAACAAGCAAAGAGTGCATGTGTACTTCGAAAGAAAGAAAAAAATACAGTTATAATTTAATTTGAAAATAAATAAACAATTTTCAAAAAAGTAAAATTTCAATGAGCAAAGCTTATTAATAATAATTAAAATGGGTAATTGCCAATTTGCCTCCCCCTGACCGCGTCACTGAGTTGTCATCATATTTCTATCTAATTTATTTTTATCATATACTTTACCATGTACGTATAGAGCCATCTGTCGATGTATATAAATAGTTGTTTTTACTAAACCAATCTTGAGCATTTTCAAGATTCTTCTTTTATTATATATATATAGATTTATATTACCCAAGATTATATCTATTTCTTGATTTAATAGATTCGTTTTCATTCTTCCGTTCTCGAAATTATCTTGTTTTTCAGTAAATTTTAATTTCAAACAGTCATCATTGTTAAATTTAGAAATTGCATCGTTCTTACATAATAACATTACTTTAAATATATTCCTCATCTAGACGTCATCATTTTATTATTTATTAACCAATATAGTTATCATGGATAGCAACGAAGCATCAATATGTCCATTATGTCGTCATGAAAAAGTTAAAATTTTTGCGGTTGGTGAATGTTCTCATCCTGTATGTCATTTATGTTCAACAAAAATGCGTATTCTTTGTGAACAAACATATTGTGCCATATGTCGACAGGAACTTCCGAAAGTATGTACGACATTGAATTGAAAAATTTAGATATTATTTTTGGATAGTAATAACTTCGTTAGAAAATCTATTTTTCTGTGTTTTTTAATTTCAGGTATATTTTGTTTCGGATCTTGCTGATACTCAACCATCAATTGATCCATCTCGTTTTACACCTATTGATGAAACAGGTGACTGCGGAATATATTATCCAATAAAAGCTGATTGGATACGTCGTGAAACTGAAAAATTACTTCGCAATTTTTGCCCATTTTGTCATTCTGAATTTGAAACATTTGAAATCTTACGTGATCATGTACGCCGTACTCATCGTTATTTCTATTGTGATTTATGTGTAGAACATTTGGATCTCTTTCCACATGAAAGAAAATGTTATACTCGTCATGATCTTGTTCAACATACACGTTGTGGTGATCGTGATGATACATCCTTTAAAGGTCATCCATTATGTCGATTTTGTGATGATCATTTTCTTGATGTTGATCAATTATATAAACATATGAGAAAAGAACATTATTATTGTCATATATGTACAACGGATAGTGTTTATTATAGGTTTGTTACTTAATTTTATATTGAAGAAAAGAAAAAAAATAGTTGGAAAATATTTTATTTTATTATTTTTTAGTGATTTTGATTTACTTCGTGAACATTATCGTTCGACTCATTATTTATGTGAAATTGATCAATGTAAAGATGTACAATTTACAAATGTGTTTGCTTCTGAAACGGATTTTCGTGCTCATCAAGCAGCACAACATAGTAAAAGTCGAGCTCATGCAAGACAATTAGGCGCAATTGCTGTAGAATTTCAATCATCAAGTACACGTGATCGAAAACAACCACATGAACCAGCTCATAGAGGTAACTCAACAGTCTCTCTCTCTATACACATATATATGTATTTACGTTCTATTTTAAAGGAGTATTTAGAAGTGGTGAATTTAATACACAAGGAAATACGAATTCATCGAGAAATGAAAGGTTAGTTTTTTATTTTGACTGATCGATTTCAGTTTTTTTTATATAATTCATATCTTTTGTAGAGATGATACTCAACCAGCTGTAGCAGCTGCAGTACCTACTATTGATGAATTTCCAACTTTAGGTGAACGTTCATCTACCCCACAAAATGTTCCACAACAACGAGGTGCTTGGGTAAATGATTCCGCGAGAGGCATACATTCAACGACTGAATTTCCAGCACTTACTGGTGCAGCTGCTAATGTACCGAATACAAACACACGCCAACCTGGAGGCATTTGGCGAGAACAACAGCAGCAGCAACAAACAGCACCATCAATATCTATAAATCAGAATAAAACATCAAAGAAAGTACCTTCATCAGCGAAACCCGTAACAAATGGAGTACTAAAAATATCTACAGCAGAAGATTTTCCAACATTACGAGGTGCTAGTAATACAAAAATACCTGCACCGGTCTCCATGTTTTCAGCGTGGGCAACAGCTAAAAAAACAGCAAAAACTACTAATGGTAAAATCAAATGAGAAATATTTTGTCTACATTTATGTTTGTCTTCATTTTAGCAAGTGCAAAAGGAAATCAACCTCAAATGCGTATGAATACAAATCGTTTAATGATTGATGATGAAGACGAAGAATATATCAGACGACCAATGACTTCTCTAACGACAAGTAGTACACCTATGGCTGCATCTAATATAACTTTAATATCATCTACTGATCTTTCTGCTAATGAAACTGAGAGACAGAATAAAAATCAATCAGTACCAAAAGCACAAGATTTTCCTGCCTTACCATCAACAGCTACCACAAAAAATAATAGTAAGATCATTTTTATGAATTATATATATGTAATAAATTAAATTATTTATCAATATAGAAGGACCTTCTGGTGTTTGGACGAATGACGCAGCAAAATCACCTTCAACACAGCAGAAAAAGAAGAACAATGGTATGAGTAAAAAGAAATTTATAGAAGAAATACAATCAATGCATACACCACCATCATTAAATTCTACGAATGATTTTCCAGCAATGGGTTTAAATGAACTTGGTCGACGTTTAATTACTGATGATGATGAACCAACTAAAAATGTAAAAGTAAAACAAGAGAAAACCTCATCACAATCACAAGCATCTTCAACAAAACAAGTCAAAGAAGAGAAAATGTCATCACGACCGCAATCATCTTCAGTAAAACAAGTCAAAGAAGAGAAAACACCATCACGACCACAATCAACGCCAATACAACAAGTCAAAGAAGAGAAAAAACCATCACCACCACAAGCATCTGCAAAAAAACAAGTCAAAGATGAGAAAACACCATCACCACCACCACAAGCATCGTCAATAAAACAAGAAAAAAAAGAGGAAAAAATATCTCCAGTTCAATCAACTAAGAAAGTATGCATCTAGAAAAAGATTATATTTCACTCAATTATTCTTCCAATTTTTATATTTTAGGAACAAAAAGTAACAAAGCCGAATGATTCAATTAAACAAGAAGTATAAACAATCTTTTATGATTTATTTTGAAAAATTAAACATATTTCTATTTTAGACTTCATCGACTAAAGATGTAACTCCTGCAAAATCCATAAATAATCAAGTACTTTCATTTCATTTTATCTTAAATATATATGTTATTTATATTTATTTCATAGGCATCATCACAACCATTAGTACAAAATGAAACTGTGGTTCAATCTGCACAACCAGTAACATCCGTAAGTTCATTTATCGAAGAAAACATAATACAATACTTTTTTTCTTTAGTCTCTTGCAGCTCCACCTGGTTTTACACCACTATTATCCGTTGCTCCACCGCCTGGTTTTAATCTAATTCCACCTTCTCAACCAACTCCTCCTCCTCCTTCTTATATAGTTACTTCATCTCATGCAAAACAAAAGAATGAATTTCGTGCTAAACTTTTTGATCTATTCGATGGAGATATGAATTTATTTGTTGAATATGATAAGTTTTGTAATGCATTCGCTCAAAAAGAAATAACATCAGATGATTTCATCAAATATACAAAACAATTATTTAAAGATAAAATTGACGAATATTTACTTGAATTCATTATTATTATACCAAATATTGAACAACAAAATGAACTTTATACAATATGGAAAAATGATATTCATCCATCATCAACAGTAATGAATACAAATAACTGGACACAGAAAAAATTCGATGAAAATAATATTCATATATGTCGAATTTGTAAACAAATTCTGCTAGAAACTGATATTGATGAACATAATTCAAATCATCCAGAATTCAATACACAATTTCCATCATTACCAGCAGCTGCTCTTCCTATCGGTCGAGCAACTGGAAAGAAGAAAAAATAATTCTATTCTATTTTATTATTATTTTTTAAACAATTATTCATATTAAACAACAAAGACATAATAAAAAATCGAACAGTTTTTTTTGATTGTTGTTTATTGTTATATCATTGATAGGTTGTTTTCGGTATATTTAACAAAAATAAAAAAAAATACATTTTTAAATCATCATTTGATTTAAAATGATAATGATACATATATTCTCTATAGATATGAAAATCAATTTATTTTCTTGTAAAACAAGTTTTATTTGAAGATATTATTGATAAGAAAAATTTGGTATCATATTTACACATAAATATGAAAAAAAAGCATTAGCTGCTATTATCTGAAGCAGATGGTAGAGACAATATTGTCGGATGATGTTTAAATAAATAAACTTCTTGATATTGATTTTAAAGAACCTTGCTATTTTCCTTCGGCATATAAATAATAGTATCATTGATTTATGTAATCTAATCTGTTGAAATAATCAATAAAGCCGGCAGTGTAACTGTTGATAGACATAAGTATCAGCTAATAATCTGTTGTTTATACGATCAGTATTCTTTCAATATATTATGTGATCATGAATATATAAAAAAGTTAAAAATGATTTATTGTTTAGAACTAAAGAAAATTTATTACAATCAATTGATATATTTAACAGCAATAGACCACTAATATGTATAAACTATTTTTGAAATAGTTTGAACAAATCACAATCATCTTTCTTACTATAAAATCTATTTATAGCATTTATTGTAAATTAAAACCTTTATTTCGAATAGCTATAACTATTAGTTCCGATTCTCATACAATTGAAGTTTATTATCGGGTTTATTTATCGTTCTTTTTTTGTCCTTCAAAATGTTGCTTTATTCTATCTATACGCATTTGTCACGACTAAATCACAAATTTATATTCCACATCAATGAAATAATGTAACTTAGACGTGTTAGAACACAATCAAGATGCGCATGAATACGTACGTACAATTAAATACATTCTACTACTGAATATCTTAGAATAGTTGTTTTTTGTGATGTAGATGTTCTACTCATATTTCATGTGAAAAACGACAGATATTGATAGTAAGTTGTCAAAAAATGTTGACACAGTTGAATTAGATGTAATATGAAACTTCTCATGTAAATGAAAACAATGTTACATATAAGATGAATGAATGAATGAATGAATGAATGAGAAATGTTTAAAAAAAGAAAGAAATGTATGCTCATCAATGTCATTAACACTATCATTTAAATAACCATAAAACTATTGTTAGCAGCTGTTACTTTGGTATCGAATTAGCATTGTTCGTATACAACACGAGAAGACAAAACAAACGTCTAGGGTTCTAATTGATTATCATCATCATCTACACTCTTGACTGCATTTACAATCGGCGTCCATGTTTGTCATTCGTATTAAAACAAGCACATTGTATTCGTATGTATGGAGTATTGACGGATGTTGTGTGAAGCGTGCGTGCAAAGAGAGTTAATTGGGTAGCTAAACTATTGCTTTAGGCGTTCGATTACAATCATTGCACTAGCACAATCTCATTCTGCACAGTGGATTTCCACTCTCATGTCACACTCAAATATGTAAGATACAATATGCGCGTAATGATAGTGATGATGCATTGTTTCTACATGATTTTTCTTTTTTGGTTTTCTATTTCATTACTGTAAGTATGATCACATCTTTGTCTAATTTCTCTAGCACATACTTCGTTAAATTTCTTTATTATTGTTAGCAGAACGAAAATGTAAACATCAAGCTTTAGATACATATATATATAAAAAGGAAAACGTGCCAAATATATGATGAAACAGTAACCTTCAATTACTTCTGATAAAATAAAAAACATACACATCTAAATAATTGATTAATACAAATAGAAGTCATAATCAAACAGAAATTCATCGTAACACTTTATAAAAAACTTTTGCGAATACTAGGTAAATAATAATTCTTAATGGCTAATTATGCCATTTTTTCCATTAGAAATAATCTTTTCAAAAGATTTCTAACATATAAATGATACAAAAATAAGATTCTATTATGTTAATTTCCGTTTTTTCTTTTTATTTAATTTTCTTATTATAGAACTGATGTTTGTAAGAAAAGAAATCTTATATCTTGATTTCAATCAACAATGTTATACTTCAACAAATATTCTTGTTTTATAACTGTAGTAATCCTTTAGTCTGAATATCCTCTTTGCTAACTTTGAACATCAATGACACAGTGTTTTTTTATGATTAGACTAAACCGATTATTTTGATTGTATATGTGAATATGTGTATATGAAGATATTTTTCTTCTCACTTTATAGTCCACAACGGATGCCAAGATAGAAGAAAGAAGAAACGAAGAAAAAAGAGAAAAAGAATAGTAAAGGAGGAGAAGAAGAAGGAGAAGAGACAGCAGTATAGATCGGGAAAAAAAGAAGGGAATTACTATTCTTTCTCTACAAATATAAATTTCTCGGAATGTCTCTTGTTGTTAGAATAAAAGAGCCGATGATGACAGTATGTAATCATAAATCGAATGATATCCTTCAATAAGTATATATGCCTTCAAATCCTTTGTTCTGAAATTCTTTTCAAAATATTATTTTCTTTATTCTTATTGTTTCCTTATCCACAGATTCACTTACTGAATGTTGATCATCTTGTTATTTCATTTACGAAACTATTCTCACTTGACTCTCAATTAATAATCTCTCCTATGTGCGATTCTCAGATATGTACGACTATGTATGCACAGTTGGATCTTGATTCATTTTCTTCAGAATGTATATGCTGTAACCTATTGATTAAGTAATCAATCAGCCAAGCCCTCTTTTTCTCTCTCTCTCTCCCTGTTGTTTTTTGTTCTTTTTTTCCAATACATACCATATGTGATGTGTAAAACAGGAAAGAGCAAGTTCTCCTTAGGTGGCAATCGCTCGAAAGAAGTTTTCCGGTCTTAAGGTGAAAGCAAACATCATTTTCATAATTCAAGAAATACAATATTTTTTCTGCTGTATAATTATAAAAAAGAACTAGGAGAATTTCTATCTTATTGTTAGTTTTTCTTTTCTTCGTATTGTTTTTTTTTCTTCTTGTTTGAATATTAATTCATCATCATAAATACATAGACTTTCTTTTCTAGACATCAGCATATATATTCATTAATATGCTAGTTGTCTTTATTATTTGTGCATGATAAGGTTAGTTGAGCTGGAGGGCATACTTAAATTGTCTCTTACCTTGTCAATCAAAATTAAATGAGACATCTAATATGTACAAAAGGAAAACTTGATTTATATAGCCAAAAAAATGTCATATTCTCATTAAAGTTACTTTCAGATCAAAGTAAAAATTAAAAATAAAATAACGATAAGAACATTTGAATGCTAACGGCTCATAAGTTCTTATTTTTGTTGGTAACGGACGTTAAATTAGTTTCCTTTCTTTTTTAAAGAGTAAGTAATGCGTGTATATTGTATGAATGCATGTGGGTGTATATATATGGGAATCGGCAAGTTGAGTTAAATAGTAAATATACTAGTAGTCATACAGATAGAAAGGATAAAAGGAGAGCTTTCTCATGTCATTTTTAGTGCTAGAGAGAAATCGTTTGAACATCCTTATTTAATCATCACTATCGTCATTTTAGCTCGATAAAGTGAATCCTTCGATCTGCCAAAATCGTCTATATTTAATCACTTCTTCTTCTTTCCTTTCTTATTTCACTGCTGTGATTGCTCCCATACATTTTCATATATATATATATATTTTTGGTTTCTCTTCATCATTAAATCAGGACAGAGAAGAAGAGAAAAAAAGGTGACTGAATCTTTGATATAGAAGAAGAAAAAAACACATTGATGTCATCCTATTAACAACAACTATAGAGATTCATTCAGTCATGCTTATATGAAAAAAACGAAGGCTATTTCATTTAATTAAAAGAATCTATACAAACTTATATTGAGATAATAAAGAATCATTATCTTTTTTTTTCTTCATTTTTTTTAGGTTCAAGTGATCATTGCACATGGTGGCTGATGACGAGATCATTGATTATTCTGATTATTATTCCTATGTTTATTCTTATTTTTTTACCATCATCTATCTATTTAACACCATCCAGTATTGGTCAAAGGAGAATTATAAGATCATCTCTATCACCATCAATACGAAAACCAAATATAACTATTCTTATGATGTTTCCAGATATCGATGGATTTATACCAAATTTAAAATCATTAATTATTGTTTATGAATACATTGTTGATCTTTATAAAATATCAGAATGGCTTAATATTAATTTACAAATTAAAGATTCGAATTGTTCAATATCTTTAGCTCCTCATATGCTTGTTAAAACAATGCTTTCAACTATTCCTGATGTTGTTTTTGGACCCTTTTGTGGTAAACAACAAAACAAATATATATCTTCTCTTACATATTATTTTTCTCTATAGATTTAGCAGTAGCACCTGTAGCGCGTCTTCTTCATTTTCAAAATATTCCTCTTATTACAATGGGTGCAGTTTCAAATGAATTTACTTTACAACGTCAGTTAATGTATTCAACATTATTTCGTTTCGGATATCGAACAGATGAACTCGGTAAGAATTATTTACAGAAAGAAAAAAAAACAAACAATTCCTCTAGGTATTATTATATCTTAGTTTTTCTAGTAGAAAGAAAAAGCGATTATGCTTATTGTATTTTCTCTAAATAATATAATCATAAAAAATTACTAGATAATCATATAATCATGATATAGTATTAGAAACGATAATAATATTTTGATTCTCTTTCGTATTAAAAATAAAGAATAAATATATCTTTATATTTTGATGGCAACAAATATATAGATAAGAGAACACAAAATAAAAATTGTCATCTGTTCGTATTCTCAGACATGTATTTTTTTTTCGATTAATAAAACACAAGTATCAAAAGAGAATATAAAGTAATTTATCAAGGTCAATTTTATAAGAATATATTTATAAATATTCAATTGTAATGATAAATTCATAGAGTAGAAATAGAATATTTTTTCTATTACAATTCAAAATGAGATTTATTATTCATATGAATATAAAAAAGAACTATTAGAAATACAACTTGAACATTTTGATAAGATCATCAATCGATGTTCGGAAAGAAAATGTCTATCTATGAGTGAACTTTTCATCTTAATTATGCAATTGATCTTTAAAATACTTCACGGAGTCAAATTTAGTTTTTATTAAAAATTTATCATTGGTCTTATGTAAGTTTAATTTACTAGACGATGATGATGATGTCGATAAATCAATACATCCGGAGTATAATAATAAGAAATTCATAATGTCATCATGGCGCATATACGACTATTTTTCTAGGAAGACCTAAGATAATTGATAGACCTATTCATTCAAGTACTCGTTTCTTCTTTTTTATTCTGAAGAATAAATTTACTTGTAATCATAGAATAGTAGTAGTAGTAGAAATTTCTTTGAATAGATTTAATTATAATGTGAAGTAGATGATTTTAAATAATAGACATAGAAATACGAGAGCTAATATTTACAACTGTTAAGAAAAAAGTAATAAACAACGTAATTTTTTTTTTCTAGTTTAATAAATTTTTATCTTTCATAATACAAATCCATTGAGAATAGAACAATGAATGAAATATTATTGCTCATTATTTGTATTTGAAGAGACATTTATTAATAAACTTGTCAATTGTGATTTACAATTAATTAAATATAAAAAAATGTCCTATAGTTTAAAAATAGATTGTACTTAGAACTTAGTTTTTTTAATAATCAGTTAAAGAATGATTTATATTAACGATAAAAAAAAAGTTACTTTTTTTCTCATATTACCTACCTATAAATAGTTTCTATGTAAAGAAAAGTGGAATTTACTTTGCAACATAATAAGAGACAATACATTGATCATTTGTGTTAAATGTTTCCTTATTAGATAAATATTTGTTTCATAAATATGCAGATTTGCTTTTTTGTTGATATTATTCTTTTATTGTTATATATAGAAATGACCTCGATATCTGATTTATTAGGCTAATAAAACTTTTTTGTTTTGTTTATAATATAAAGAATGTTTCGATTCATGAAAATAATGATAATTTAAAGCTTATTATTTTAATATTTAACACATGTTCTTTTTTTTCTCTCTTAATAATAAATATTCGTTTAATTTTATTATTTTCAGGTGCATTACTTGTCAAACTTTTCCAATATTATAAATGGTCATTTGTTAAATTTCTTTATGAAGATAATCCAAAACCTTGGCATGAATGTCAAGTTCTATTACGACCAATAGCACATACATTTGCATCTAATCAAATTCGTTCCGATAATCGAAAGGTTACAAGTCATGATATTAAAGATAATTTTAAATCAATTTTTGTTGATTTTATTAGTAATAATGCATCAGGTATTAATTTAATAAAAATAAGAATAAATAAATATTTTTTTTTCTAATCTCTAGTATCATTATGGTGTGTTAATCCAAAAACATTTCGTTCAGCTGTATTAACAGCTCAAAAACTTGGTTTTGTTAATGGAGAATATGTTTTTATTTATCTTGATACTGTTTTAACACAAGAAAAGTATAAGAAATTTTTTTGTGTTTTATTTAGTTAATTTTTGTTTTATCTTAGTACTGATGAGAAAAGTTTAGCTGTTAGACAACCATGGTTTGATCCAAATGAAGTCGATAATGAAATAAATGATAATGCACGTCGTGCTTTTGAAACTGTATTATTTGTTCGACAACGTCTCTATACTGATGATCGATTTCGTCGTTTTGCTGCTAATGTTGTTGATTTTGCACGTAAAACAAATCGAACCAAACAATTAACTCATGAATCAGTATGTTTCTAAAAAAAACTTTTTATAAAAAAAAAACTTCTTTAATGAATATAAAAAAAAACATTCGACTTTATTCAAAATTCTATTCTTATACAGAATTCATCTATCAGAGTGAGTAGGTGATTGGTTCTATTCTTCTCTCTTTCTTTTTTTTGAAAGCATGTTTTGGCATTCTGCATGTTAAATTAAATCTTACTAATTATAATCACCGAATGAAAAATAATCATCATGATTTATTTGATTTTCTTTTTTTGTAGAAAAAAGAAATAGATATGTTTTCTATTCTATTTAGATTGGAACAGATGAAACAAATTTTTATGATGCAGTTGTAACGTATTTTAAAGCATTGAAAGAACATTATTCAAATAGAAATCTAACAGACGCATCATATATTGGTGATACAATAATATATCCATCGTTGGATGCACGTACATTTAAAACAATGATTTGTAATCGTTCAATTGAAGGTGCAAATAAGAATATAACAATGAATCATATTTGTGATCGAATTGATATTGGTTATGCAATTTATGATATGGATCCAGATACTGGAGAATTAGAGGTATAACTTCTCACATTGCTATAATAAGAAGATCGAGCGATGTATAAGAGTAATTGCTATCCTTTATGACTTCTGATTAATCTAATGTTCTATCTTTATCCAAAACAAATAGAAACTCAAGTGTCAATATTTTATATTATTGTACATCTGCTCTTCTTCGTTTATATTTAGAAACAAATATATTAGAAGAATTGTTTAATAAACATATGTAATTTTTGTTCGAAGATAAGTTTATCCCTAGAAACTAAGTACTTGACAAATTATGTTTACTTTATTATTTATATACATGATTGCATCTGAATAATATTATGATCAAATACATAAACATATTTTCCTTTCTATTAACGAAATAATATCTGATTAAGTTTATTATTTATCAAAGTTCTCGAATATCATTAAAAATGTCATTAATAAATTTCCTTTAGGCTGTTGTTGCTTATCCAGCTGAACCATTTACAAGTGAAAATAAACAATTACAATGGTTAAATGATTCGCGTTTTATTTATTTTATTGATAATAATTCAACACACATTACTGATACACCACGTTGTGGTTTTAATAACATTAAATGTCCTAAAAAGAGTTTGTTCAAATAAAATTATCAAAATTTTATCATATCATTTTTGTTTATTATTATTTCAGCTCTTATTCCAATATGGGGTTGGATTATTGTAAGTCTTTCATCCATTATTGTTATTCTTATTATTGTTGGTTTTATTCTATATCGGTAAAACAAAAAATATAAAAGTTTCTTTAATCACGAATAATAATTTTAGACGAGCAAAATTTGAAGCTGAATTAAAGGCAATGCAATGGTTAATCAAATGGGAAGAATTAGTAACACGAACACTTCTACATAATGGTGTTGCTACACCATCATTTAACAAATTATCAGCTTCACAAAAGGTACTTTTTTGAAAACCCTAATTAAACTGATAATTATTTTCTAAAATTATCAGGATATATCTGTACAGAAGTCAGTGAGTATGTGAGCATGTTTCACGCATATTTTCATTCACCAAAGTTTTCTATTTTATTTGTATCACTAAAAATTGCACAGATTCTAGTACTACACTTTTGTTTTATTCTTTAGAAATGATTCTAGAGAATATAATCTTATTATTCTTTATGAAATCATTTCTTTGTTGTACTAAATAACATACACACATAAATCAACATTATATTTACGTATATAATTTTCTTCTTTTTGCATGTTATTTAATTTAATTCAATGGTAATTCTACAATCTTTTTTTTGTTTATTTATTTATTTTCTATAGCGTAGTTCTGTTATAAGTCATCGTTCGAATGATAGTGATTTGCGTGAACAATCAAAACAAACATTTACAAAAACAGCTGTTTATAAAGTAAAAATTATTTTATTATTATATGCGGAAAATATATTTTCCTTTTATTCTTAGTCATCGATTGTTGCTCTGAAACGATTTCATAAAATAAAACTTGAAACAACACGTGCACTTCAATTAGAAGTTAAAGCAGTTGAGTATAAATGAAAATCTTGTGTAAAAGAAAAATTTTATATGACATATTTTAGATGCAAGATCTTACACATGATCATATAGCTCGTTTTATTGGTATTTGTATTGATCCTAAACATCAATATATTATAACAGAATATTGTCCTAAAGGCAGTTTACAGGTTTGATAGATTTCGATAGAAAAACAAACTGTTATCTTTACTTTTTATTTCATTAGGATATTCTTGAGAATGAAGAAATTAAACTTGATTCAATGTTTAAACATTCCATTATGCATGATATTGTTAAAGTATTTTTATAATTTATTTAAAAATTTACGTTATATCTTTTTCTTAAGGGTATGCAACATTTACATAATAGTCAAATTGGTTCACATGGAAATTTAAAAAGTTCAAATTGTGTTGTTGATAGTAGATTTATTTGTAAAATAACAGATTTTGGTCTGCCGACATTAAGATCGAATACAAATAAAGGTTCACCGTTAGGTGTAGTCAAAGATTTTGCATATTATAAAAGTATGATTAGTTGAATATTGTAAAAGAATACTTAAAGTTTTTTTTATAGATCGATTATGGACAGCACCAGAATTATTAAGAGATGCAAATCCACCGGCTGCAGGTACAGTTAAAGGTGATGTATATAGTTTTGGTATAATTTTACAAGAAATTGAATTACGTAATGGACCATGGTATTTAAGAGATACAGAATTACAAGCATCTGGTAAAATTTCTTTTCTTGAGTATTTTAAATAAAAATTTGATAATTAATTTTATTTTCAAAAGCTATTATTGAAAGTGTTAAGACTGGTAGTTTACTTCGACCATCAATAGAACTTGGTGATTGTAGTACTGACATTCGACAATTAATGAAAGTGTGTTGGAATGAAGATCCAAATGAAAGACCAGAATTTTCTGAGATTCGACAAGTCATGCGTCGAATAAATAAGTAAAAGAAAAACGAAATCTAAAATAAAATATTCTTTTTTCTTCCAGAGATTCCGATAGTGGAAATATTCTTGATAATTTACTTAAACGTATGGAACAGTATGCAAACAATCTTGAAGTTAGTATAAAAATATCTATATATATTACAAGATTTCAATCTTTTCCATTTTTAGGGTCTTGTAGAAGAACGTACAAGTGATTATTTAGCTGAAAAAAAGAAAGCAGAAGAATTACTCTATCAACTATTACCTCCGTATGTATTTCAAAATTAATAATCATTATTTATAATAGAAAAATCTGATTTATGAAAGAAAAACTTCGAACTGTTATAAAAAGATAATTGATGAATATCATCTAGAAATATCAGATTACTTCTTGCATATACATTTGTCATTTATGAGATCAATGTCAATCGTGTTTAATCAATCTATAACTGTTATTCATATACACCCTTCATCTATCATTATCGGAAATAATTATCTTGAAAAAGAATAGACAGTTACATGACTGAATTGTTTTTATTTATAATAGAACGGTTGCTGCTCAATTAATGATCGGTCAACCAGTAACAGCTGAATCGTTTGAATGTGTTACAATTTATTTTTCTGATATCGTTGGTTTTACATCATTATCATCTGAAAGTACACCATTACAAGTTGTCGATCTTTTAAACGATCTTTATTCAGTTTTTGATGGTGTTACTGAAAATTATGATGTTTATAAAGTTGAGACAATTGGTGATGCTTATGTAATATTTTATTATTATTATTTTTTCTTTATCTTATATATAAATAATTTTAAATAGATGGTTGTTTCTGGTTTACCAACACGTAATGGAGATTTACATGCTCGAGAAATAGCTCGTCTTTCATTAGCTCTTCTCAATGCTGTACTTAATTTTCGTATTCGACATCGACCTGATAAACAATTATTATTACGTATTGGTATTCATTCCGGACCATGTGTAACTGGTGTAGTTGGTCTTCGAATGCCACGATTTTGTCTATTTGGTGATACTGTAAGTATTCTTATAAAGAAATATATAATAATCTATGTATTTTATTCTCGTTTTAATTTAAGGTTAATACAGCATCTCGAATGGAATCAAATGGTAAAGCTTTACGTATTCATGTTTCATCTACTACAACAGCTATTTTACAAAAATTTGGTGCATTTGAATTAAAATTTCGTGGTGAAATTGAAATGAAGGTTCTATACTTTCTGTTTCTTTTTTTAATATTTACTTTTATTAATATAGGGTAAAGGAAAACAACGAACATATTGGTTACTGGGTGAACAAGGTGGTTTAAGTGCTCAACATAGTTTGGTGAATTGGGATGACGAAACTGTTGATGAGCATTAATCTATATATTTTGTTCTTTCTTTCTTTCTTTCTTTCTTTCTTTTTTTATGTATAGTTTGTGTTTTCTCTTTTCTGTATCCGAGTTATTGAAATGAATGATAGCACAACAAAAAAGCATAATACAAAATTATATCTGTTTTTTTTCTTCTTTAAATCTGACATTTATTTTTTTTTCATATAGAAATATAAATATATATAGAATTTAATATGGTGTCCAATAGTAAAGGTTATATGCAAGGACTGTATCTTTGACCGATTCAAAAACAATTCGAATATTTTTACTATCTAAATTTGTATAAGAGAAATAAAAATTAATTAATAAATACAAAATAGATGATTTACCAACGGAACATGTAAAATGAGGATAAATATTTTTTTCAGCATATCCTTCTCTTGGTGGTACTAGACGTAAATATTTATTTTTAATAAAATCTTTTGCAGCATCAACATCAGTATCTGCACCTAAATAGATTCGAAATAGATTTATTAGTAATGAATTACAAAATTACCTTCAAAATCTGGATAAGTACATCGAAGTGGTTTGTTGGCAAGACGTTCTGGAAATAGATCAGTTTTATTAAGAAAAAGTATGACAGATGCATTAGAAAAATAATCGGATGAAAGAATAACATGAAATAATGCTAAACTTTCTTCCAATAAATTCTATAAACAAAATTAAATAAACAAATTTTTGAAAAATATTTATTAGAGACTTGTTCATCAGGATCATCAACCTTTTGATCATATTCGATGAGAGATGCAAGAAAAATAATTGATGTGACATTCTAAAATAGTAAGAAAATATAAAAATTAATTTATATTTTATTAAGAATTTATACATCAAAACAATGAATCCATTTTCGACGTTCTGTCTTCTGCCCACCAACATCGACAATTCTTATATTAAATATATGATATAAAATATATTATTCATTAAAAGAAAAATATGTATCTTACCGAAGTTGAACACGAGCAAATTGAAAATCTTCTTGTACAATACCTGTTGTCGGAATACGAACTCTTAATATATCATCATCAGTTGGTGTAAAATTTTGTGCTGAAATTCTTTCGATATCATCCAAAAAACTAAAAAGAAAATAGCATATCATAATAATGTGATAAAAATATTCATTTTAACTCTAGAATTTACTATTTAGCTGAATCAGTTAATCGATATTCTCGACGTCGACGATAACATGTTTTAACACCTTCATCAGACCATACATGTTTAATAGCTTCAACTATACGAGGTGATAATGCTGGTATACCATAGTCATCATCATCACCATTTTGTGAATTTAATATACGAGCATATTCCTATTATAAAATAATCTAATAATTAATCTCATTTGAATTAAATTTTTTCATTATACTTCATTTTGATCATCATGAAATCTAATACAAAGAATATTCATTTGTCGACAAATACATCGAACAACACTGAGTATTTGTCGATAAATAAATGGTACAAGTCGACGTTTTTCATCAATTCTAAAACCTCGGCCATGAATTAATTTCATTTGTTTAAGAAATGTTGATCTATTAAGAATAAAAATTAAATTAAATTATTTATTCACATAAAAACATACTTTCCAGCTTCGGCATTTCCTAAAAATCAAATAATTTAAAGATTAACAAAAAAAAAAATAATATTTAATTTTTACCTAAGAGAAGTAATTTTCTTTCATTGAAATTTTTTCGACGTATTCGTTCGAGACTTTTATTTATATCTTTATTAATAATTTCATCAGGAGTTAAACAACAATCACATGCATAATCTTTACAACATGGTGCAAGAAACCGATTAAACATCATTTTGTACAACGATCTAGAATATTAATTCAATAGGAAAATAAAAAAAATTTATCGATATTTTTTATATTCAATAAAATAAGGAGAATTATCAACGATGGTTATTTGAATAAAACGAAAAAAAAGGAAAAATATGATTTCTTTTCAGTATGATATATATTTATGTAAGAACGAAAGAGAAAATACATAAAAGTATGTCTATTCACCTTCATATGCATATATACATGTATATGAAAAAAACAAAAATTTTTTTTTCTTGAAAAATAATGGTAGCAAAGAATATAAGTCATGAATAAATACCTGTGCATTAGGTAAATATGTATATATGGATTCTTTTACTTGTATTAACGCAATGGCAGTGATTAGTATGATACAATAGAGAAAAAAAGAAATAATACGATAACAATCAATGAATTTGAAAATCGTTAGAATTATTCATAAATAAATTCGTTTTAATATATGATAGATATTTTTATCTCAGTTAAAGACAACGAATAATTGACTTAACGAAATTTTATTTTTTTATTAATTCATACTAAATAAGTATGATGTATGACTATTAATGATGTTATTTAACATAAAAGGGAAACCAAAAAGAAACTGATTGTACTATGTATTCAAGTAACAATGATTGGATAAAATTTATGATGCATGAATCATTATGCTAGAAGATTTAGTGTTTGGCCATATTGTAAATATGAACCTATTGATAGTTGAACATTTCCTATATATGCTAGGATCAATATTTCTTTTTAGAATAACAATCATCTTGTTTTCTACAAGTATTTTGTCGATATTAATACGATGATCATCTTGTCTTGGAGATTTTAATAGAAATAAAGAAGTTTTCGATTTTATACGATCATTTTCAATCGCCAAATGATTTGACAAAACAAAAACAATCTCAAGATGTTGTATTTTTCATACATTACATTAGAGTAATATTTAAAACTTGAGTGGTAATAAATATAAGTGAAATGGTATTAAGATTTTGGATGTAAATATTACAACAAAATCTATATAGAATTATAAAGTTTATGATGTACTTATGATTATGATGCTAAGAAAAAATCATGTTTTTATTTCTGTTTTGTTAAATCACTTGTAGATCGAAAACTTCCGTATTTCTATCATTTTTAATTCGTTTTGTCAAATTGTATATATATGATCTTAAAGTACTCAAAGAACTAAGAGAATAGGAAACTACGTTCAAAATATTTACGGATCAAACATAAAAAAATAAGTTCAAATATATATATTTTCATATACTCTCTGTTACGAACATATAAACCACAATATTTGTTCTTGACAAACTCATGTATACTTTTAACACCCATTTCTTCTAAAAATGTTGTCATAGATTATAAGTAAATGAATATATATTGTGAATTAAATTACATAGGAATAGATGAATTTTGCCAAGATAACGAGTAACATATACAAAAAACCATCATTTGATGATAGATCGATGTGAAATACTGTTTAATTTTCGTTAATTATATCCTTAAACATATATTTCTAACCCGATTTTCACAAAGTTTATTCTAATAATGAAATATGTTTAGAAAAAAAACCATTGAGGATATGTTAATTATTTTTGATAAAAGCTGTCAAAGAATAACGATTTTTACACTATAGAGGAAGTCAAACGACAAGTTAACTAATAATTTAAACATCAGAACAATGTAATTATTTCTGATATTCTATCTACTAACATTCAAAATCAAGAATTCTATAATAACTATGAACTAACATAATCAAGCAATATATCACTTGCAAGGGCATTCAATCAAGTATATGGAATATCCATATTTAAAATGAAAATTATTGAACTATCTTCTGATCTACTATAATGATAAATAATTTATTACTATGATGAAATAAAAAGGAACTTCGATTATGAATAATTCCAACTTATAAGATATTAGAGTTGAATAACAAATATTAGTATTAATGGCTATGTTTCATTTCGTTTTTAATGTCATAAAAGGAAGGATCATGTTTCAAATTTAATTCCTGACAACTTATAAGATTACAGAACGAATGAATAAATATTAACTAATTTTACTTCTTTCTTCTCCCATTTTAGTTTTTATTCCTCATGATGTAGAAACTTGCTATAATCAAACAATTCAAATGTGTAATTGCATTCATACAGATTTGTTGTGTTTTCTAATTTTCTGATAAAATCATACAATCAATCAAACCAATAAAATTTACAATATCTATCTGATGTTCAAATCGTATTTCTCTCTGAGAATAAATATATATGTTAACTTTTTATCAGATAGATTCAAGCAAAAATCTTTTTCTCATATATTATAACAACAGATGTTGAGACTATGTATTTAAATAATAAATAATTGTAATTAATAGAAAATATTTGACAGCATCATCGGATGTTTATAGATCTCTCTAACTTAAATTATTCCTTATTCTATTCGTTGAGATTTATTTACATGATGTATCAAATTATACTATATTTTTTCTCAATATTTTAATGTATTTCAACAACATATAAGATTGCATGATTTTTATCTTGTCGATACTATCGGCATCTTTGTCTTACAGCAGTCCCTAGGAATTTGTCTTATTATCTATGAGATTATATTCATACACTTAGATTCTTCTTCTTCTTCTTCTATTCTTTTGTTATTATTTATGCGTCATAGACTTCCTTTTCGTCTGCTTTTTTTTCTTTCAACTTGTTATGTTCGATTACTTGTGCTCTTGATGACGTCGTCCATTTCACTACATACCCTTATTATATGATTACGCAGAACTAGAGATGCAGAAATAATTCAAGTAAAATTAAAATCTCACATAAAAATATTATTTTTATTAAATCTAAATACTAACATGATCATATTTTCGGAACTATAAATGAATTAAATATATATCGTATTTAATCATATTTTTACCAATCATGTTATACTAACAATAGATTCATGCATGACGTATTCTACTGATTAAATTAGCAGTTCGTAGCATTTACTGACATTGTAATTTGATCGTTTTATGTTCAATAACCATGGGTTCTTTTTTTTACAATACTAAAACATCCCGCGTGTAAATCATACTATTCATCAAAATGATTCATTTGCGTTTACCACTATTGATTCTATCTCTTGTATGTGAAAACAACAAGAAACAGCTATCCTACATCAACATGACATCTGTGCGGCTTTTTTTTATAGTTGAAGATGAAACATTTTGGTACCATATGTTTTATGATCGATTGATAATATTTGCAACCTTCGTTTGTTATATTTCTTTAGTTTTTCATTGTGTGTCTTTTATATTTTATAAAAAATGATAAGAAATAAATTTAATTTTCGTTTTATTTTTAATTCAAAAATTACGATTATTATATAATCATCCTTCGATGTTATAATGCGTAAGTAGTTTCTTTCATAATTACACTTAGGGTAAATTTAATATAATTAAAGTTTTCCTCTTGAATACCTCATTCAACATAGTTTTCCTACTCATCTTGAAATGTATTCATGAGTTAAGCTCAATACTCTTTTATTATTTAACATCTATTTATAAATATATATTAAAATCATATGTTTCTTTTACCATGAAAAATATTCTACTGATTTCATAGTAGAAAAAGTTTTATTATATATATATATATATATACCTTAGTACTATAATCATAAAAAATGCTTTCATATAATTCATATTTCCTTAGTTTCCGGTTCGTTGTTTTGTATCCATACTTTTTGGTGAAAAAAAAATGTACCTATCGTATATTTAGATTTATAGCTGATTTAGTGGGTTAATTACTAAGCTTTTCACGCGACCCACACAGATTTTCACGCATTGACATGCCGCAATTTATCTTGTCTAAGCTATTCGTACTTTTGATGAATATACGCTATTTTTCTTGTCTAATCTGCTATGTATGCTTAGTAATTCTTAATTGAAAACAGAAAAAATAAAACCCTTTTTTTGTACTTAGAATTAAAAATCTATTCATTTCTATCATATAAGAATAAAAAAATAATTTTTATATAATATCATGTTGTTTTTACAGTAAAACTAATTAATATAAATTACTTGCAACCAATACCCTTTTAGCATTAAGTTCCTTTTTCTAATATATTAAAATGAAGAATATCTATGTTAGAGAAAAGTATTGCGCCACTTAATTCCTCTTAAAAACAAGTGTAGCGAAGTAGTTAGACACATTTCTTTTATTTTATATACATTAAATACTTGAATGAATAGTTCTTTACACGATAGCATGTTTTTCCATCTGTTTCTTATGTTTTATTGCTAGTAAAACTATATTAAATCTATAGAAAGTTTGAAATAAAATCTTGTATTATTCTACACGACGATCAAATGGTTGTTGTGACGTCTGAGAGGTTTAATCACATTTGGAAAGAAAAACATGAACATAGATTTTGTTTTATAGAAAATTCTTGCGAAGAAGAAAAACTAAACGATCCATATCATCGTATTCATCTTATGGTACTCTATTGGCATATAAGTCTAATAATGCATATCTTTCATAAGCGTTTATTTATTTCTCTAGCGTTATTAATAATATTTTCTTGATATAATTACCAAGAGCTTTTCCTAATTACGTCAAATCGTCTTCTTTACATGTCATTTTCCTATATTCTAACAACTAGCTTTGTTTGGCATATGTCTTCCTAGTGCCGTCGGCTATTGCTCTATATATTTTCTTTTATCATATTCTTATTTTCTTTCTTTTGTTGCTATTCCTTTACTTCTCGACAGCCTATTCAAATAATCATAACAGTATCAAGGTTTGACATGAACATCTACGTGCGTGATCATCTATTTCTATGGTTATACGTCGAAGATTTCCAGGACAGAAATAACAGAAAAAAATTAAGGGAACATCATAATGACAATTATGGGATTTAACATTTTCTGTAATGTATCTTTATCTCTGCTACTCCTTCAGCAAATAATATTAAGCTTAAAGCATAATTTTCGAAAGTCATAATCGATGAGCAAAAGAATATCGTATATATTAATTTAAAAGATAGTTCATTTTCTTTCTCTCTTCTTCCCCACTGTTTCTATAAGTTTCCGTACTTACTGTTAATGTTAGTTGCATTTCTTTCACTTACATCTACCTTCATATTCTTTATCAGTCTGAAGTAGTTTACTTAAGATTCTTATAAGAGTGAATCTTTTCAGAAGATAGAATGAGCACTGAGACAAATCAAACAAAAATGGTGATTACAAATAAAGATAAAGAATTATTTGAAGCTGTTCAACTTATTTTTGGTTTATATCTTATACCAATTGTTTGTATACCTGGATTAATTGGTAATATTCTATGTATTATTGTATTTATTACGACTAGTATGCAAAGATTTCTTACAACACAATTTCTTCTCTTTTTGGCAATATTAGATACAATTAAACTTTCAAATGATTTACTTTATTCTATTGTTCTTATTATTCAAGCATTTGATCAAGAGTTTGGAAAAAAATTATTTCTTATACTTTATCGATATTGTCATTATATTAATACTGTATCAACATTATGTGCAGCATGGCTGACATTATTTGTAGCTATTGAAAGGTAAAAGTTTTCTATTTTATTCGTTAAAAAATTTGAAACAATCTGTTCTTTATTTTTTGTTATATATGTAGATATGTATTATGCAGTGCCAATAGTCAGAAACGTCTTGCCGTTCAAAGAAATTCTCGTGCTATATGTTATTGCATCATTCTTTTTAGTCTTTTTCTTGGTTTACCTGTTTCATTTCGTTATGAAATTGTTCCATTTTCGACAATCAATCAAACTTTAAATGACTCAGATTCACCAATACGTGTATCAAAATTTGGTAGTTCTCGATTTTTTCGTGTTTATTCAATTGTAATGGATATTATTCGTGCAATTATTCCATCAGTTTTACTTTTTTATTTAAATACACGTATTGTTTATTTACTTTGTCGAATGAAATCATCAGCTGGTACAGCATTTTATCGTTTAACAATTAGTCTTATAATTATAATTGGTTGTTTTATTTGTTGTTATTTTCCAGATGCTCTCTTATCACTTGTACTTAATATGGGTTATATTGATGAATCATATCAAAAACGAGCAATAAGAGAAATTAGTGATTTTTTTATTACACTTAATTCAGCAATTAATTTTTTAGTTTATTTTTCTATATCATATACGTTTCGACGATCAATTTTACGTTTATTTGAACGAAAAACTAAATCCTACTATCCAACCACATATGCAGACATTATACAACGCCAACGCCAACAACAACAGCAGCAACAACAAGAACAGCAACAACCATTGAATAATATAGGAAACATGGTATAGAACATATATTTTGTATTATTTTATTTTTCGTTGTTCTTTTTTCTAAATTCAATTGAATATTGTTGCTTTCGAAATTCTTAATGTATCAATGTTGCCCATCAAAAAAAATAAGATGATCTCTTTTTAACTAATTCTCGAAAAATAGTGGCAAGATCAATGTGTTGTCTATTTTTCCTCTAAGGAATTTCACTAATGTCATTCTGAGAAAAAGATAATATCCGGTCAGGAAGCATGCTGCTTTGTCTTCTACAAAAACCTAGAAGTGTATTTTACTGTCTATCCTATCGATACTTTTCAAGTAAAATAGATTCCTTCTCAGATAAACTTGCTGTTTTGCTCGCAAGACGATAGTAACATGAAAGGAAATCAGACTGGATTTACATATTAGCTTTCTTTTTTTTTGCACTTTAATATACCCTTTCAGGCATAAGATAAGAATGATAATTAGCGAACTTTGTTCGTATTATGTCTGTCACAGTTGTAGACAAATTTACATTTTAATAGTATGGAAAACGACTGATTTTCTATCCATTTCTACCTGTTGTGAATTGAATCTATTAGACTAGACATTACTTCAATTGAGCACGTATATCTAAAAGAATTCTATGTTATTTAGCATAAATAAAAATGTTTACATAGTTTGAAATCGAGCATAACATAAATAATGATTTAAATGCATTTGTCATAATAGAATAAGACAAGAAATAATTGAGTTTCATGCATAATTATATTAACTTTATTTATTATGCATAAGTTCATATAGTTTTTTCACCGAAACATATTTAATTATATATCAAATGTTTCTGTTCCTCGAACTACACATAATAATCCTTGTCAATGAAAACTGTCTTACATATAAATATCTGTTTTTATGTTTTTCATTCTTGAATTTTGATTGGTATATAATTATAATGATGAGAATTGACATTGAACATCCATAATCACAAAAAAATGCATTAGATATGTAGAATATCTTAGTATTTCAACAGATTACCAAATTCTCATTTGTCTTTACACATATGATATGTCTTGCTTTTTATTCTTTGGGATATATTTATAATCTAAGTAGATTTTAAAATGATGTAGACTTAATTAAAATGACTCTCAAATGAATTAAAATACTCTTTGACATCTATGATCTGGATAGTAATAACTGTTATCCTGTTTTTTAAACCTATATTCAAAGTCTTACGTCAGCAAAATTTCAAGGATAGTTTCTTAATATAACATTATGAAAAGCAATACAAGCATTTATTATTTTTCAATAGAAAATCGCAGCATATCTAGTTATTACTGTAAAATTATAATTGTAACTGAGCCTTGTACCAGAATGCTTTTTAATGTTTATACATTGAGAATGGAAAAGAGTACTCATTTATCGAACATTATTTTATCAGAGGATCATCAAAATTTCTAGAAGAACTCTTTGTTTGTTTTCTTGATTTATTTTTTTGTTGAATTTATACTGATGTTAATTTTAGAGATAAATAATCGTGACCATTTTTCAAATAAGTTTTGATCGACGAAAACTATCGATCTAAAATGGTCTACAGACATAATCAGATATATTGTTTCTACTTATCCCATCTTGAAGGTGTAGGTGTATGTCTTGTCATCATCTCACATCCACATCCGATTGATTTCTATAACAAGCAGAAATTAATTAAAACAACAAATGAAGAATTATTTCTCTTTATAGAAAAAAGTACAAGATAGTTGTCGATATTGTCAGATAATCTAATATTTAGCATGTTTAATAATATTATCAGCTAACTTTTCGCAAGCTGTTATAATTGGGATAAGTGGATAATATCCAATTATTTTTGAAAATATAGATATATCGCAAACACGTAAAATTTTAATGCCTTTAACTTGTGCTTTTGAATTGAGAACAGCGAATGGATCTGTTTTTGTATGTCCAATTTTAGCTGTATAACAAGCATGATGTCCCCACACATATTTATATATAAATTCACTCAATTGTTTATCAGTTTGTACTTGATCACCAGGTAATACTTCATAATCAATATATTCAGAAAACGAACTGTTTAGTAATAAAGTTCGTAGATATCGAATACTTTGTATTGTTCTACTAAGATCAATTTCTTTATTTGGACCACTAAAGTGTTTTAATTGAATCAATGGTGTATCAAATGCATTAGTAGATTGAATACGAACTGAACCTAAATTATTGTCAACATGTGCCAGATTTATATTGACAGATAAGTATGCTCCTACAGGATATTGTAATGATTCATTTACCCAATTTGCTCTGAAACCGGTAAATCGATTTGGTAAGAAGAGAAATACAGTATCGGGCAGTTTTGGTAGTTTTGGCTTAGTAGAATGAAGTATAGCAAAAAAGGACATCATTTGATGCATACAAAGCAGTTTGAGGATGTTCGATATAATCAATTAAACATGGATCATCAAGTGTAGCATTATATGTACAATTAATACTTCTTATACCAGCTATATCAACATTCGGTTTTAATTTAACAACATATACTCCTTCCGAACGATCTTGCTGATTGATACCAACACCTGGTAAATCTTGTATAACTGGAATTCCAAATTTCTTTAATAGATCTTTATCACCAATACCACTCAGTTGCAATAATTGCGGCGTCATCCATTGTCCACCTGACACAATAATTTCACGCTTTGCATAAATTGAGGATTTTTTCAATTGATTACTATTTAGAGTCTGTGATGCTAACGAACTTGCTTTATATAAATTTGCACCTTTAATATATACAACACCACATGTTTCTTTTGTTTTGGAATCAATAATTAACTTTGTAACAAATGTATCTGTCCATACATGTAAATGAGATTTTTTCATCGATTGAATATTCTTGATACGATTATAAGTGCTACCTTGTACACTTGTTTGTTTAGTTACTGATTCAGGTTGATAGAAGAAAAGATTATTATTATTAGTGGTTATTTATTAGAAATGCTTACTGCGATCGTAACTGTTCTCTTGATTCTGATGATTCTAAAGTAATTTTATGTTGTTCACGATTGAGTAGCTCATATTTAGTTTTTCCTTGATACTCACACATAATAGTATAGTTCATACTGATTATGTTAATAGTTTTATGATTAACTCAGAAATAAATGGTGCTCTACTCTTCAATTTACAAGTTATTATATATTGCAGCCAAAATAGAAGTACGATAGCTGAATCACGTCACACAAGATAAATAGTCATCTAGCATTGTTTTATCAACAGATAATAATGCATGATGTGAATTTATGGATGAATATCATATGATATTTTGAAATAATTTGCTTAATAAGCACATATTTGCCCAGGTGTTTTACTTATTCAAACACAAGATAATATTATGTTAGTGAAATGGTTCGATAGAATAGGCCATTGCGTACAGACAGATCATTGAAAGTTTACTTTAATATTATAAAACTAGTGTTGCTTCAGAGAATATACTTCTAAAAACCAAGAAAAAAATTCTGAAGTAACTGAGTACACTTTTAAACAAATATCTATGTATATGTTGTTTTAAATAGAAGATATTGAAGTAATAAAGATAAGATATAATAGACACCTAACTCAATTTTTCTCTATTTATCTTGTAATACCTTCTGGACGATGTATTTCACTCGTCTATTACATCTAATCTTCACAGTATGGTAGATTAGATCATTATTACATTAATAAATATCTAAATACATTTAATTCGTAGATTTTGACATATTCGCAGTTATTATCGTTCAAAATAAAAACACTTTTTTATCAGAAAAAAAACTAAAATGTAAGCAGGAAACTATCAAGAAAATACTGGAACTGTTCAGCTGTGTTCATTACACCATTTATGAGATAAATACAAGGTTAAGCTTATCAAACAATGTACATGTAAAATAATATAATCCTACAGTATATTTCTATGTTCAGTAAGTCTTCAAAATAAGTACAAGATTATAATACTATCCACATGCGAATAAATCGTACTCATACTTTTTTATGATTAATCCTTCTGATACCGTGCGAAAAAAGTTTTGCGGAATATCATGCCAGGACGTTTATGTTCATATATAGAAATCATAAAAATTTCAGCTCTACTCAACTTTATTATTTATATACTGATTAATCTCATATATTAGAAATCTCATCACACATTTTACACACAATATTTACGCAACCAAGTTAGAAAAGTTTCGAAAAGACTTGGACATAATCATGAACATATAAGAAAAATCATAGAGCAAAATAACAAAAAGAAAGCAGTTGGAATATACCAAAGGTGAATCATACTATAACATGAGGTTTTTTCATGTAGAAGAAAAAATGGAGCTTTGATGAAAAGAATGCAGTTGGCAGATGAAAGAGCTTAAAAAATTTCATATTGATAAGTTGAATATTTTGCCAAAAAATAGTAATATTATCATCAATCAATTATGAATATTAGACGAATATTAATTATCAAAGTCTATATAAATGTTTACCGTCACAATCACAATCTTGGCTTATTCGTCGAGTATTTCAATGGCTTGATTTTTTCTTTTGAAATTCTACGGTATCTTTCATAATTAAATCAAATGAATAATCTACTATACACATGATTTTCTCATATTCTTATTTCTTTTACTTTTATTTCAATTCATTAGAACAATTAGTATATTGTCAAATTAAACAATTTTTTTTGCCTATTTGATTATGTCATTCATTGCCATACAAAATATAAAATTTTTTGATTTTCAATACAGACAAAGCACAAATATATATATATATATTATTTTTTAAAGATAACCACGAAAAAAAAATGCTCTCTTTCTGTTAAAAGTAAAACTATGTCATGAAAAAAAGAAGAAGAAGAAAAAAACGTAGGATATTGAGCATATGAAGAAAGGATAAAGCAAAGCAAAACCATTTAATAGACAAAAAAGACAAAGAATTAAAGAGAAGAAATAAAACCTATTAACACGCTGAACAATAATAAGCATTTTGGGCCATTGAATATAGTTTATCAATTGGATTTTGACTTCGATTTACTGAATCTCCATTAACATCACCATCTGTATTTTCATGTGATGAATAACAATTGTCATTAATTAAATGAAGATGTCTACCATCATCTAATAAATAATTGAATATTAAAAATGTTTAATATAGAAAAAAAATAGTTTTATTTAATATACTTGTTTCGTGTTTATTATTTTCATCATTTGATGATCCAAAACCATTTGAAATACTGTGTGATATTGATTCTTCTGATGAACAACGACTATCTTCTACATATATATATCAATAAAAATATTTTATTTAATAAAAAAAACAAAATAATTTACCGATATTTTCTTCTTCATCATCAAATGCATAATGATTTAATAAGCCATCATTTGTTATTTTTTTCTTCGATTTTTTTTCATTTATTTCATTGGTATTATTTTGTAATTGACGACGTTGTAATTTTTTCATCTAATTAATCCAGAAAAATATTTTTATTTATTTTTAATCATATAAAATATTTACTTTTGCTCGTTCATTTTGAAACCATACTTGAACAACACGTACTGATAGACCAGTTTCACTAGCTAAACTTTCTCGAACCTTTTAAAAGAAAATCAAAATTATGAATTCATAGAATAATTTTTATATTTCATTGTTACTTTTCGACATGGTTTTGAACTAACATCAAATGCTTGTTTAAACTTCCGTCGTTGTACAGATGTTAAAATAGTTCGTGGTCGTTTAGGTCCACGAGGATTTCTTAAATGATTATGTCCAGATTGATGTATACCACTACCCATTGTAACAGCATCTGATGAACAACAATCTTCTTCATAACTATCTTCTTCATCACCTAAATAAATATAGAAATTGAAATTTTATTAAATTAAATTAAATAAAACTAACTTCGATTACATCGAATTGTTGGTTGTGGATGATGTAATGCAATAATTTGTTGTTGTTGTTGTTGTTGTTGTGAATGATGATGTTGAAAGTCGGCATGACAAAGAAGTAAACCATCACGAAACATATATGGATCACCTTTATGCAAATGATCATCACATAGAGAACATCTAAAGCATTGTAAATGAAACACTTGACCCGATGTTTTCATAATTATTTCATCCGGTCGAAGAATTGCTTTACATCTTGAACATCGCATACCGAATATTCTAACAGAGAGAAGAAGAATTAAAAAAAAGAAGTCAAGAAAATTATCAAAATAGAATTCTTTTCTTTTTAAATATGAAAAAAAAGTCTAGAAATCAATCAACACTTGACTCATACAATAGAGTTACCTATAAGAGATAAACACCTGTGCTCTACTCTCAACTGTCAATCTTTCTCTTTTGTAAAACTCGAAGTTTTTTTCCTACCTATTGTGTGTGTGTGTATATATATATATATAATGACAATGGAAACTGATCATAATCAATGTCTGTTCTACTCTTTTCTCATTCTTTTTGTCGCATTGCCTGCCATATGAACACTTGAAAAAATGAGCAAGAGCATGAACGATCGATTGTGGCACACATAAGTATCTCACTCAGTTTCGCCGTCATCAATTGAACTGGAAAAAAAGAAGTAAAGAGAGGGAAAGGGAATATGTAGTAAAGGTCTGTCTGTGCATGTAAATAAGCAACATACAACAATTGACGATGACGAGCACTTGAAAAACGAAAAAAAGAGGGAGAGAGAGAGTAAGAGAGTCAAAAGGTGTATATGCACGTGCTCTGTCGATTCTCATAAACAGTAAAGTAGAAGTACTCTTACGCTCGATGTATCTTCATCGATGCCCTGAAAACACATATCGCAGGATGCGCGTCAACTTCCGTTCACAATGACTTCCGTTTTTATATCGGACATCTACACATCTCTTTTCTTTTTTTAATATTCATTCCTCGTCCCTTTTTTTTTACATACTACTTGTAACTCTTTTTTCCCCTTTCTCTCTCTCTCTCACACACAGCCTTAAACAGTTGCATCTGCATCCGTTTGAAAAAACAAAAAACTAACAAAAAAAAGAAAATTGTAATTAAAAAATTATACTACTGATCTTTAAAATGTTTTGATTGTGCAGTCAGTGATGAGGAAAAAAAGTAAAGAGAAAAAGAGCGCACATCCCGGAAGCGATTGATATAGAAATATATGTACGTATGTATGTATATTTACATGATACTCACTCAAAATAATCTCTTTTGCAATAGATTTTCCCTTCTTTATGATAACATGTGGCTACCAATGGTTCTTGACATTCAACACAGACAAGACAACGTTCATGCCAACATGTGCCCATCACACATAATAAATATTGTTCATCGATTGGTAAGGAACAACCTGTGCAAATAGTAGTTCCTACTGTATTTGATGATATTGATGGTGGTTCATGCATTCTATAATATAATAGAAAAGAAATTTATATAAGAAATTAGTTAAAATTATCTTTCTACCTATCATATGAATAAGAAAATTCTGACTGTTCACAAAAATTCATTGAATACTAATGATTGCTATCATAAAAAGATTTTATTCTTTTTCTTTCTCCCATTTCTTGCACTAGTCTTTTTTCTCAGCAAGGATAAGTGATGATGAGGATGCTCATATACTCAAAAAAAAGGCTACAGATGGTATCCTCCTCTTTAGATATTTTCAAATATTCAGCTGTTGCCACTTCTTACATATATATATACAGACAAAATACATAGAATAAAATTCTCACCTTTTCAGTCAATTGATATCCTACTAGTGATTGGTACGGTAAGGTAGTTGCGTCAACAACTTCTCGGTTGAGAATATGTATGTATGCGTTTCTTGAGAGAGAAAGAAGAGAGAAAAGATGGCAAATATTTGCTCAATTCGGTAGCAATGCTTGACACGGATTGGTTATATGAAGCAGAAAAAAAAAGAACGAGAAAAGAACATTTATTTTGTTGCTATCATTCATTGGTTGAGTGCGATAGAGAGAGAAAAAAATGGAAAGAAATATACCGACGTTGATGTCATGTTCTTTTATATTCGCTCATCGTTTCTCTTTCTTTCTTTATTTTTTTTCTTCGTCTTCTCTTATATACATGAGTTTAGTAAAATAACAATAAAAATATTCTACCCAAAAAAAAAGACGATATAACTCCTTCTCAAACTCCTAAAGACATTCAAAGAACTCACAATTTCCGGTATCAGTTTTTTCCTTGAAATATATAACTAATAGCCAAAGGATATAAGTAATTTTACAGTTTTTTTTTATTTAGAAACATTATTAAAATTATTTTTAATATTTTATAACTAGACTACTACGACGCTTATTAATGATTCTTTGAGTAATTTGCCTGAATACAAATGTTTTTTTTTAAAACTAAAAGAAATTAATATTTGAAAGACAACCTATTTTTTTATAAATGATAAGACTTTGTAATTTAAATAAACTAGACAAATACGATATAGAAGATAAATAAAGTAGACGAAGAAGATTTCTTGTACTATAATGCTCAAGTCATGACGACTTTTGTACCAATCGTTCGTTTATACTATAAGCCTTGTTGAAAGAGATTATCAATGCATGATTAGGTAAAGAAAGAGAACATTAACTGTAAAATATATTCATCATTGATTGTTGAGATTTTCATAGACATAAATAACATTCGAAAATAAACGATTTTAATTTACGCAAAACAGATGATATCGATCAGAATCATTTACTAATGTTGAATATAAAATGTATGTTTTTCTGTGAAAACTTTATCACAGTAAATTGACATTGAGATAAGCATTACATTAAATAATTCTCATCTGATAGACATCAAAAATTAAATAGAAAAATAAACCGAAAAATGTGGATAGACAAGAGAGGCATGATTGTCGATAAGAAAAAGATGGAAGCAAACAAATATATCTATCTCGTTCGATCTATGATTGTCCTTGATTCTTTACTCTATCGATCGCTCAATCTGGTTTGATAAACATAATCAGAACATACAAAAAAAGGTGAGAAGCTCAAATATACATGTATATTGATGGAAACAGTTATATCTCTATTTACAAGCTAATCTATGTAAAAAAAAAGCGATGAAGTTCTTTAAATAACGGGAAATAAACACTTGATTGATTGATCGATTGACTGACTGTCTTAGAGATCTTTTTTTTATTCGATATGTCACACATTTATGGCATTGTTGTCGGTGTTAATCAATCGATCATTATTATCAACAATTCAATGTTTGTGTACGTTAACAAATACAGGTGAAAGTCAACTAGAACTTGTAAAAGAAAGAATGAGTGAGTGACAGCAACAGAACATAAGATCAAACACATCAATGCGACATCCGCCGAACGTGATCGTCCATGTTGTTGACGAATAATGAATAGCATTGTATGGCATTACATGGGTATAGGTAAAGAAAAAGAAAAAGAGACGATGGAACAATCTTCTGCAAGACACGCACACTTCCTGACTCCACCTCTTCAATTCTTACCGACCGGAGGTGCGTCCACTTCAAAGATTGTTTTATTTTTTCCATGAATGACATCTGCTTTTCTCATTCATTTTTAGTTTGTTTGTTTTGTTTGATAATGAAATGCTATGATACCATTTATCATTGGCGCATTAGTAATTTAAAATTATTCACAATTTCGAAAAATTAATTTTTTTTCTTCTTATATTCATTTCTAATTCAACCAATTATTATTCACATTTCTATATCATGATCTTTGGTTAATTTATATGTATTCGAATTTCTTAATAGAAAATATTTTAATAATACAGTTATTAATATGAATATTTGTTAAATTGTTCGATGCCTCGTCATCTATTTGTTGAATCAAAAACAATTTTATCAACATCTAAAAATATTGTAAATCAATCAGAGAAGTTTGTGAAATATTTATTATATTGAGGAGAAGAAAAGAAACCAAGTTTTATGATTATTTATAGACGTGATCATCATTCGCGAATATTTCAAGATGATCGGTAGATTGTTTAGAAAAATATTATTTATATAAAGATTTTTTTTTCCTGTTTTATATAGAACTCATAATAAAGAAAATAAATTAAATGAAGATCATCGACAACGAAAATATTCAACGAATAGAATAGTTGATACTTTTAAATTTCATGAACATGAAGAAAAATGGTCCAAGGTATATTATCATTTCTTTTTATAAAGATGTTCTATTGGCCAACATAAATAATTAATATCTTCGCATTAAAAAATAATTCTAATTTATTGTTTTAGAACCAATCAACATCAGATAAACGTCAACAGCGTCGACAATCATCGAAAATGGGTACTACATTTTCAGGATCTGGATCAGCATTAAAGGGTTCAACATCAGCTATACCTCATGGTATACGATCTAGTCTTTTGAATACTCCAAATTCTTCACGTGAGAAAGATGAAGGACGTATACCATTGTCAGCAACAAGTTTATTGACTGATTCACGTCCATTACCACGTATTAAAATTCTTGAATTACGTGCTGAAATTGAAAGTAAACCAACATTAATCGATGAAACATCTTCATCAGTTTTAAAATATAAAACACCACAATTTAAATCTCATGTTACTTTTCAAATACCAGCTATTGATGAAAATCAAAATTGGAAAATAGGATGGATTCAAGCTTGCACTCATATGGAATTTTTTAGTAAATTTCTATTGAAAAAAAACGAATTAATTAATTCAATTTATAGATACATATGGAGATTATGGTTATACGTCATGGGAATTTCCTGAAATGGTAACACGTGAAAAACCTTTAATAAATGATAGTGATGGACGAAATTATCCTTGGTATGGAAGTTCCCATCAAGTTGTAACTATTAATGGGCCTATTTCTCATACATCAAAATATACGGTAACAATGCGAGATTTTTTTCATCCATGGTATGTTGAATTACTTCATATTGTAAAAATTTTCTATTTATTTTTTTTGTATTCTTGTTTTTATGATTCCTTGGGATATTCCAACAAGTGATGAAGAAATACCACGTTTAACACATATTTATCGAAATCAACATTTTCTTGTTTGGCTTGCTGCAATGGATCTTGAATCGAAAGTAAAGTTTATTTTGTTTTTAATAATAAATATATATTTCTTGATTTTCCTAAAATTAAAGGATATTTATATTCTTCGAACTGTTGAATGGAAGAAAATTATTGAAATTTCTGTTGATCCAAAACGACAACGAGGTCGTCGATCAACTCTTATTTCAGATCCATCACCGGAACAACCGACAATCTATGAGGAAAATTTACCTATACCAACTTGTGCTCTCTATCCACCAACAGGTAATTATTTGTATGAGAAAATAAAATTGCCTGTCTTCTTCAAATCATTTAGCTAATTCTGCTCAAGTCTTAGTATGGCGACCAACTTCTGGTCAACCGACACTTGTTGTACCACCTAAATCTATTGAAATCAATACGACAAATTGTAAATAAATTTATTTATGTTTTAAAATACTTACAAAAATTTGTATTTATTAGACGCTCATCTGCCATTGGCACGATATTAAGATACTATTTTATTTATATTATATTATAATCGAATTTTATTACCAATAAATTAATATTTATTTTTAATTTTTTTTTTGCATATTTATACTATAAAATAATTTGTTTTAAAGCATTTAGAAAAATGTCTTGTTTTCGAAGAATCTATCATATAATTCATATTCACATTGTAGTAAATGCAAATGATAATAGATTTCAAAATGAATAGCTTATTATCAACTATAGTACTATTAACTGTAGGAGTAAGAAGAACGATATAATTTTCTATTTGCTTTTTAGTTTGTATTGGGTGACGAAAATGAAAATTGAGTTTTAATAAACATATTGTAATCAAGAAATAGAAACTTGACGTATAGCCATTATAAATAATATTATAATGAATGATATTGTTGAAGTCATAGTATACGTAATATTCAAGCTAATTCTTCGTCACTACGATGATTTCGAGAACGTGTTACTACTACTGAAGTACGTCTTGGCTATTGATGAATATTGAAAATTGTTAATAATCCAAAAAAAGAATTAGAAGTAAAGGTACGATAATATAAGAAACAATTACAATTATATCTAAATATTGTTGACATATATTCAAGTTCATATCATAAAAATAATGCTAAAGTAGATATTAATTTAATTCGTAATGTAAAACTAAAGAAAAAACTTTATTCGTATTTTACAGTCAGTTGGAGTATTTATCTATAGTATTGGAAAATAATAATGAATGATATATTTTTGTTAGATTGTCAAGAGAAAAGACTGTCGGAAAATATTTTTGTAGATATATCTTCCGGTTAATATGGACTTTTAAAATTAAAAATGAAGCAGCAAACGATATTCATTTTTGACTAGAAAATTTTCTTACTATATAAAACAAAATTTTAGTTAAACTTGACCAGAAATGAAAAGTACTAATTTCCAATAAAAAATGATCAATCAATAAATATTTCGAAATTAACTACATTTAAAAAAACGATCTATGTATAAATATTATCATAATTATAACACCGATTTGTTATAATATTCTAATTATCATTTGATGAAGTTTTTAAATTTAATTTAATACAGTTTGATGAAGACATATAAATTTCTTATAATTTTGTGTTCTATTCTATACATTCGTTTTTTATATATTTGTATTTTCATACATAAATTTATTGTATTTACTTGCAGTTTTATCATAACATCATAATAATAATAATAAAATATTTTCATATTAACATTTCGAGCTTGAATTAATTAATAATTATACATCGTTTGAACTTATTCATATCAAAATAATAAAACTTGGTCACTAATAAAATGTTCCAAGAAATGATGAGTATATTGAGCTTAGATAACTAAATAAATTACAATCGATTTTAAATAATCTTTAGAAATATTTATATTCATCATTTATTATAATTATTGATATCCGATTTATCAAATAAAAGAATATTTGACACATTATTATTATTCTTCTTCTTCTACTAAAATATTTCTTTGTTACTTTCTTACAATCGAAAGATTAATTTGTAAATCGAACATCTAACGAATAAAAATTACTGATTATTTTGACTGGTAAAACTAAAGAAAAACGTATAAAAAAAATCAATTAAATTTAATCAGAAATATACATCGATAGATGTATTTAAGATATGTAAGGTATATATTTAATACAGTTTTATACGATATGATTTGCCTTTAATTAGAAAATATTAATTGAGCTTGTCGAATTTGTAAAGCATTTTTTTTCAGCTATAAAATAAATATACAAATTATTGAAACCATTTTTTTCATAGTTAATTCATACGACATAAATAAATCGTTTTAATCAAAGTATATTAAATTTTTTTTGCTATTCCTGATATGTTTTACTCTATTTAAATTACTTTAAAAAAAATCACAGAAAAACTTGACTATGACTTTTTCACTTTATTAACGATATTAAATTTTTTCATTTCCTACTTAAATAACAAATATTAATTATATTACCATTATTTTAATTAACAGAAAATAATCAATCATCTTGATGATCATTATAGTTATTCTATTCTCTTAGACAAAAAACTAGTTCCTTTCTTTTTTTTTTAACAGTAAAATATTAGTATAATATTCTTCATATATTAAAAATTGAATATTAGTCTATTGATTATGAATCATATAATGAAAGATAGACCAATTATAAAGAAACACGAAATAGTAAATAAACATTAGAAAAACAATAAAAATACTGTCTCACCTGTAATTCGTAAGCTATTCTCGGTTATTGATTAGGTGAGTGATATATGCAAAAATTTGTTTTTTTTTTATAGCCTTGTTTTTTTTTCTTATATAATATTTATATATTAATCGAAACATTTACAGTTTCAAGTTGAACAATACGAAGCCATATTGATAGTATGAGAAAAGAATTTTGTTGACTTCATCTATATATATATATATATGAAATGAAAAAAATGTCAATTTTCTTCACCATAAATTCAATTTAGAATCATTATGACATAATAGGAGAGAAAAAAAAGATCAAGAATAATAAAGATACTTTTTATTAAAAATGACAAATAATATAAAGTTGAAAAGTTCAATATATTTTTTTTTCTTGTAAAAATTTTCTTTTTAGTTTATATTTATTTTTGTTACTATATTTTGACAAGTTTATTCACTTTTGTCACATGATTGAATACATAAAGATCGCTTTTTTGTCAACCAACAATGACCTGCAAAAGGCGTTCGATAGCAGTCAACAAACAGAACTGTAGCTATAGTACTCGTCTCCTCTTCTTCTTCTTCTTCTTCTTCTTCTTCGTTTTCTTCTCCTTCTCTCTTCTTGTTCTGCTGTCACCCGTTACATGCACGTATTCATATGTCACTATCGCTGCTCTCGTCCGTCGACGACCATTACATACAAATATACACACGCGCGAGAGAGCGAGCAACCACTCAATACTACTAACTACTACCACTACTACTACTACAATTCATTGCGTTGTGTATTTATGTATGTATGTATGTATATATTTGATCATTCGATCAGTCTTTTTGATTAGTTAATGATTGTTGGACAAGAATAGAGTATTTTAACTTCACCGTTATTATTAACGTTACATGATACAAGTCAGTTATTTGTTTTGTTTTTTTTTTCTTCTACCATTCTTTCTTCTTTATATACATGTAAGAGAAGACTATTACATGTCAATGAAGAAAGCAGACGATTTGCCTCATCGATAGAGATATATACGAACATTGGTATAGAATGGTGTCAGCAGAACTTATAACAATAATCATCATTTTTCTCTAGCTTACTCTTCCTTTTGATAGCTGGTGGCGCCCATTGATAGTCCTTCTTTTCTTCTTACTCTCCTTGCTCTTTCTCTTTTTCCCTATATGTGTGTTCGTTGTTGTTGTCGACAAAAATCGGTGACACTACACTCTATATATACTGCGAACAGGAGAAATCGACATACACACACGCGTCTCGCTTGCTTGTGAATTGAGCTGTATAGCCTACAAACATATAGAAATCTGTTTCTTTCTACTCTCTTCATCGTCTCATTCTCATTTGTGTTCTCTTTCTTCTTGCGTTCTTATGTGTGATGGGGGTGGTGTATGCATATTAATATATGAAAATAGATCTACCGCGTGCGCGCGTCGCGCCGGTGCCCGAGACTCTCCTTTCTCTTATTCTTCTTTCTCTTCTCCACACTCTTCTCCTTTCTCGCTCACTGCTCGCACGATTTGTTCTTCTTATCTATCTGTCCGTGGGTTTGCGAGCACACAGCGACTTTTCTTCTCCTTCGGGCGACACTCCACTCTACCACAAGCATACTGTGTGTATGTATATGTGTATGTGTATGTGTGCTTATAGATTTTTTTTTCTTCCCATTCCTGTACTCCTCCTTGGTCAAACAAACGACGACGAAAGAACGAACAAACGAACGAACGAACGACGGCGCCGAGAGAAAAGAGAAAGAGAAGAGAAGGGAGAAGTTGAACTATAACCATTCAGCGGCGATATATATATATATATATATATATTGAAATCTTTCATCGACGACGAACGACGACGAAGCAAACTACAGCAGCAACATACATACATACACACACACACATGATCATGGTGATGGTGGCGAGAGGCGAAAAAGTGCGTCTCCTCCTCCTCAACGGCTGCTATTGCTGCTGCGGCGGAC